AGGTTAAGCGGCATTCTGCCATAGAGAGACCATTACAAGAAGTATTTATTATTCTGTAAATTCTGTAAATTAAGGGGCCCAGGGTTAACCCATGATTTTCACCGATTTTGAGTTTGACTATTTTTCAAAATTTCCCTTCTCGACTTTTGGACTAGCTTTGAAAACAGCTGGATAGAATAAACAAAATTCAATACAATGACTTATTTTGTTTCCATCAACTAAATTTTCAGGATTTTTTACAATAATTTTTCCAAAAGCCCTTACATTTGCGTAGTCCCGAAATATACAATCGCTTCAAACGCTGATATCCTCGGAATTTGAACCTCCCGAAAAACAGTTTAATACTTAACGCTAATTTTAGCGAGCAACTGAGCGTTTAGCAGTTCGAAATTTCGGATTCCAACTTTTCTGGTTTCAAACAGGGATAGTCTGGAAACAATAATTGCAATGATTTTATCTTCAACTGTTGTACAAATCAGGAAGAAAAGAAGTCTTTCAGAAAGAGGAGAAAAAGCTGCATCGAATGACATCCTGGTTGCTAGTTGTTTATTGTTCTATGAGGATTGACATGCCCATATATGGAATTCTAAAGCATCAGGAAAATACTCTCAAAAATTTTAAGAAGCCAGCCAGAGATGCAGAGTAACGTATTGTACTGCAATTTGCTTATCCTATCCAAATATTATCAAAGCTAGTCCAGAAATTGAAAATGAAAATTTTAAAAAGTAGCCGGGTGAAAATAATGGGTTGGAAATTCTGGAGATTATTAAGTGAACATTAAAGGGATTTGAACAAAAACATAGCCATCAGAAAGAGGAAGAGATTCTGCATCGCTCACAGCGTTTGCTTATCTTTATTCTAAGTGCTTTGGGTATGGGTCTGAAAACAGCGCGAACTTTCGGACCGACGTAATAGTAAGATGTTCGAACCTTAGCCAAAAAGGAAGCATTCGAGAGAATTGCTCTCAAACGCAGTTTGATACATTGGACATAGAAAAACAGCGCGGTAACAAACGCTTTGCAAGTATTAACATACAATACCGCTCATAAAATGTGCAAAATTTCCATGATTGTCTCGGAATTCGGGAAATTCACGAGTTCCTTCCCAAGCCAAGAGGTTAGTATCTAATATTAGGTCGTCATATAAGCTTCCTTACACTTTCTTCGTCTTTCTTTCAGAAACTTCGGCAAAGTCTCATGTTTGATGGGTGTACGTCAAGAGGCTGATGGGCAGCTTATAGTACATATTTAGTGTTTTTTGCAGTTTCAGAATTACTTGAAATCTCAAACGATATGAATTTGATAATTGCACGGGGTGCTCCATCTCATCATCCTGAAATCGATTCCAAACAAAATTGTTAAATCAAAACCATTGAAAATACAGTTGATAGCAAATTTGTAAATAATCCGGTCAGTTTTCTAGCAAATGTTGTCAAATTTATCAAGCGGTTACTTCAAACAGCTAGTAAGCCATGGAGTTGTCCAGCACTTTTTGAACCTTCCCATAGCCCGAAACTGGAACTTTGAGTTGGTGACAGCCAGAAAAATCGCGCTTCTTGACCGTCTCCCGTGATTTTCATCTGCGGATATGAGTTTAAGGCAGGTTTGAGAAGGTACTTTACTTACCACCATTTTTTTATTCAAAAAACCCTCTCACTTTTCTTTCTCATCTTTCTAGATTTTATGGGTTTTCCGAAGCATTCTTGTTAATACGCAGGCAGTTTGAAAGTTTAAGCTTCCCAATAGCATGAGTTGAATTTGTCAAAAATTATCTGGAATGTTTTCAAATTCAGAAAACTGATTTTTCTGCGTGACATGTACATATCGAGAAGCTTTCCTGCGTGAACTGTAAGTTCAGAAAAAAATTTTTGGGATTGTTATAAAGGTTTTCTATGCCAACTGTAACAAAATATGTTGCATAAAAACCTAGAGAAAATAGAACCTTGTAAAAAATAAAAACTAACAAAAAACTACCTAATATTAGGTTGATGCACAATTTTTGCACCTAAAAATAGAAAACATTCGTTATAAAAATGCATAAACAAATTAGCCAATTTGCATAATATGCCGTTGTTAGTATATCCAAAGTTGTATGTATTTTAAGGTACATTTTAAAAAATCAGTTTGAAACCAAACCATTGAGTCAAATAAAAAATCGAAGTTCGTAAATATTAATAAAGGATCATTACAAAGTTGTTGCAGTAAAAAAGTGTAGGTCATAAAACCGACACCAAAAACAAAATACTAGATCTTAGCATTTTTAGAGGCCAAAATTCGAAAAATCACTTTTTGGGTATTTATCCTACTCAGCTGATATCATTGATATAATATATCCCATCAAGGAATTCAGCGCAAGATTTCTTCTCTCTACTACTACAGAAGATTTCAAAGCAGGAGAAAGTAAAGGAATCTAGAAAAAATTTTGGTGCATGATTTATGTATTAACCTAGTAGGCACCAAAATCTAGATCTGTAGTCCTGAAACAAAACAGTCTTGAACGCATGCAGAACTAGAATAATTTTGCATCCTGGAGAAGTGGATTTTGCAAGGTTCTTTTGCATGGAACTTTATGCGCTACATTCAGTGCACACACACCATTAAACAGAGGTTTAGGCAAACGGTGAAAGTGCAGTTGTAAAATTTATTTTATATGGAAAAAGCTATTGTTTCAAGCCTTTCTGCCTAGGACGAGAGGGCTGGAAATGAGGTTTGCCAAGAGATAATGTGTAGGAACTTCAGCAAACAGACAAGCTTTTGAGAACTGCAAACGTTTACAGCTTTCGTGCATTTACTGCACATTATTCATGGACAACTTCGTATATTCGAGACCCAACAATGAACTAAATAAGAGAAGATTTGGAACCAGCTTTGTTCGTATTAGAATTCTTTTCAAGCAGGCCTCAATCACACCTACGAACCCTGAGAATGGTACCGTTTGCACTTACAGACCATATCTGTAAAGAATCAGGCAGATAGGTCTCAGTTGAGTCAAAACTTTACACAAGTCATCAGAAAGAAGGCCAATTGCTTTATAATCCGCAATTAGAATTTCATATCTTGAACTTAGAGCTGAGTTCTGACAAAAAAATCATATTTTGTAGAATTTCTTTCATCCAGGTGGTTCATGCCAGAAACTCGTCAAAGAACTGTAATTTACTGCTTAGATTTAGCTCCTCTTTTTCCTCATAAAAGACTATAGTAAGCCACCACACAATAGATGAATTATTTAGGCCTGTGGTCAAATAAAAACTTCTACCAAAAATACCGTCAGACATAGGAAATCTGGCCTAAAATTCAGGTAACTCTGGCAGCCGAAAACAACTGACAATATCCTCGCTATTGATTTCTAAGCAGAATTCAGACCTACAGGGTCATATGCATTGAGTTGGAAGGGAGGTACCTTCTTTCTTTTCCGAATTTGCCAAAATTTACAAATTTGCAAATTTGCATTGCTTACGCGAAGTTAGCTCTTCTAGGACATTCAATCAGCGCAAATTTTGCCAAAAAGAGAATGATGTACACTTGTAATGTTGATTGCTAAAAGTATCTCCGCTAGTCTCAAGTAGATTCTTGGCGATCACTCACAGAAAACCAAGTACTGATTTTCTACCGCTTTGAATTTTACAGCATGTAGTAGTCAATAAGAAACCGCTTAGGTGTTGCTATAAAGTGCTATTTCGTCTTCCGAACTAAAACTAACCTCATGCATATGTTGCAAGAAGATATGCATCCAAATTGATGCAATGGGGCTTTCGTCCCAAAATAATGCTTAATACGCTTATTCAAATCCTGTGAACATGCAAATCATGCTTGCACCTCCTATACGAGGTGCTCTTTTCCTCCACTGCTATTTTTCTCACCTGTGACCTAATTTAATACTATTGCGTGGTGAGATGTGATATGATATGTAGTGTGAAGTAGCCTAGAAAGATCCACAAGGCAAACCAACACGTTATGAGCTGGTTCTGTAATCGTAAAAACTTGCGTAGAAGAAGTAAAGACCTACGAAATTTGGGATAAGGGTTAAGCCAGGATCAGTCAGGATCAGTGAACGCAATTATTTTGAGTGATAGTACTTTGAGCTCGTAAGGCAGGTTAAAATACATTGCAAAGTGTTCTCTGTCCAGCATGGTGCAGTAAACATCTGTTCCGATGCGATAAACAATTACTCTCAATATTGTCTGAGCAACAGTGAAGACGTGCTTTTGTTGTTTGCAGTGATGAAGTCTAGCCTAATTTTTTCGTCAGATCTCTGATTCTATAACAGAAAAAGCTGAAACTCCCGGCAAGTGAGAAGAATGTCTTGCAAGAAATTAGTACTGTTCCTGAGTAGCGAAATAGGAAGACGTCAATGGGTGTGCCGATCTACCTCCTCTCCTCCTCCCACCACCTATTCTTCCAGTTTGGGCCGTTTTGTTTGAAAGTGGTCAACATGAGTTTGAAACTGTAGAACGGCTTTTTTCATATGATTTTTTTTGAAAAGTTCTCTAAAAATTCACAGCCTTGTAAACAAATTTCTTGGAACAATTTAGCATGCCTACCACCGCGTTCCTCTTTTTTCATCTTCATTTGTATGGAATCTTTATCTCGCCCTCCTCACCTCCCAGCTCCCTAAAAAAAATTTCTTGGGCACCAGTGAGTAGAAAAGAAAACAGTCAGTGGACGGGGAGACATGCAAATTTCAAAAGATTACTTGCTTTTGGCACTCTAGCGGTCTTTGATCTTTTACTGTTTCTGAACTGAAACTGTGATAGATCATTTCGGGTAAGAAAGCAAACAATATATCCGTGCTCTTGTTATAATTTCAGTTAACGCTGTAGGAAATGGATACTAGATGCTACATCTCCAGAAATTTTTAAAACCAGATGGGTATCCGCCAGAGCATACGAGCTTGAACTGATCGTTGCTCGCTACATTAACCTTTGGAGATCTTCGAAAGGCAAAACGTTCGCACCATTTCGATCTTCAGTTTTCCATATCAGTGCACTTTCTCAAAATTGCAGAAGACAAAGAACAAGATATCTGCTGATTACCGCTGCGGCAGCCGACGCGAGAGCAAGGGGCGGAGCGCGGGTCAGGCCATTTCGACAAGGCGACGGCAGCAGGACAGCTCATTGGTCATTTTTCGACATGACCGTTGCCACTCAACTCAAGCAAAAAAAGGATCGGCAGAATGAACGCGTTGTGAGTTTTTCGTCTTTTTTTCCTTGTCATCTTTACTCTATCGTAATTGGCCGTTCTCATTGTATTAGTTCGGTTCATAAATAAGTTCGGTCGGTTTTGCGATTCCTTAAATGTTGCATAAATTTATGCCGTATCTGAGTTCTTTTTTGAATTCTGCTTTGGTAAAATCTATTTCCTAAAGAAGGAATGGCGCGTGAGATTTTTCGTTATGCGCAAATGTGAAAAAAATTGTTTTTCACAAGCAGAATGTCAAAGCGGCGAGAGAATTCGTCTGTATCCTATTAAACTGCTCATTTTATACTCATCAAAGCATAAAAACGAAAATTAGGAAGTCAGATACATGGGCTTTTGAAAATCTAGCCATTTAGGAGCATGACCATTTTTTACTGGTAAAAAGAAATTTAAATTATTTGTTATACGATAGTAGAAGTTCGAACTACTTCAAGGCAAAAATTATGGATACAGAACAACAAACCAAATATTGAAATTGCATGCAAAAACGAACTTATTTTTTATTTTACTCGATTATTTTTAATTTTAATTTTTAGCCAATCTACCATTTTATTGAATTTTTTGGCATCATTATTCTAACCCATTTCATCTACCGTATCCACTCTGCCTATCCTATACTATCCTCGTATTTTTAAAGTCCTGTGAGAGAGATCGAAAAACTTCGCATTTTGCCAAAACTAAGCAAATCGATCGCGCCGGCCCAAGCGATCTTTGTCCGTCTACTGCCGCTTAACTCTCGAAAGCGTCAGCGCAGTGAGAGTGAGTGTCTATCCGTCTGCTTCGCGTTGTTATCGCTCTGCTAGGTAAATGGAATGAAGAAGGAGGAGAACTTTCAAAAATTTGGGAGAGGAAATTTCATTCGAAAATTTTCTAATTTAGCGTTTTTGCCGAAGAAAAACAAATTTTCGGAAGTATTACGGTTTCCGCAGACTTATACTAGAGGTTTCGCGGTGACCTTTTAAATAGAATAATCTGGAACCAATGGCGGACCGAAGAGCGAGGGACGGGGGGGGGTGTACGCTCGCTTTTCACAAAAATGTTATACTTCAACGAGCTATAACATTGACTAATTGAATGACTTGTCTCCACTTCGTAATGACTAAAAGAGTCCGAAAAATTTTGAGTCCAATTTGCTGTAGAAAATTCGCCAAACTTTCTTTTTCAGGTTTCTTGTTATGGGACAATGCCGGGAACAATTTTTGTTTTCAGTTTCTTCAATTCTGTTTTTCGAATGAGTAATGCGTCATTTCTACAATAATCCCGCCTGACCTTGAAAATCTCGCTAGCACACTGCTTAGTGCATTGAACAAGTCCACATATTTTTAGAGTATTATCTTTATTACATTTAACTTGACGCCTAAACGAGTACAATCTTTTCATTTTGCTAAGAACCGCGACTTTTATATAAACAGAAGAGGAATGTGAGGAAACATGCTCTGCTCAGCTTCAGTCTTTTATATGATTGCGCAGCTGCAGATATAAATTTGAAAAACTATTTCGAAGCTACCAAAACAACAAACTATTGAACTCGCCTTGCTATCAAGACTACATGCATGATTCTACCTCGTATCTTGCTTACGGTTCCAACTGTGATTTTTGGCAGATATCTGCCATGCAGGAGCAACTAGGTGATTTATGAAAATTTTCGGGGAAAAATCCGTTTTTTGAGGCTATGGATCTTTAGGATTTTGTCTTCAAACAATCACGACTTATGCTGGCATTTAAAAATTCTCTTCTACAGCTGTTTCGCTTTTTGCGTAGTAATCTTCATACATTTTTTCTTGTTCACTTTATTGCTTCGAGATGGAAAACTACGATCTTTTTTTTGAACCAAATAACACAAGCGAAGAATTAGTCAAGGCAACGTTGTACCCATGGCTTCATTACCATTCGGTGCCCGTATGAACTTACCTGCAACCGATTACAGCTCAGTAAAATTTATGCGTTTCAACTCCTGCGGCTGTAACATCGGAAAAGGGATAAGGGCAAAGATTGTGCTGCTCTACACATTGTATAAGTTCAGATCAAATCTAGAGACGTCTATATAAGGTCTCTATCCTGCTTGGTACTCGATATTAGTTTACCCTGAAAGTCTGTTGCACATTTTTGAAACATTAAAGTTTGTAACAGCTACCGGTTCAGCATTGAAATATTCAGATACAACAATTGAATAGCAAATCTAATTGCTGTATTACTTTCTTCGCAGACCGTTATTTTCATAGAGAATTAGACTAGCAGAAGCTGTGTTTGCTTCAAATATATGGACAAAACTCGAAGTACTAAATCTGTCACATATTATATTTCATTCCAACAATGTGGATTTATGGCAATTTGATCCAGAAAATCTAAGCTTGAATGATCTTCTGCTTCCGTTCTGTACTTGAAATATTCCTCCTAGAGAAGGCGTGGTTGCTAATACAAAGACTAGTTTCTTCTATTCGAAGAAACTAATGTTGAGCAATTTCTCAAAGAGAACAGCGATTTCTTGAAACACAACAGAATATTCTGGTCACATGTTTAGATTAATGAATAATCTTCTATATCAGCAATATATTGGGTTGGAAACTAAGTTCTGCAGCTTATCAATAACTTTCGTCTCTCTCAACATAGTGCATTCAAATTTTGCGATTGTGTAGGCCATGACGTAAGCTACAAGCGCATCTGCTGTTCTGCCAAAATCTGGCATCGCTTTGAGGGTTACGGTAGGTAAGCTGCATGACGAAGGCGCAGAAGTAGTATTAGATGAGCGGGCGCGAACGCGGCGCGCATGTTTCCCCAGCGTTGTAAATCCTGCGCCTCATGCGCTCTGAGGCTAATAAAGCCGCGTTCGCGCCCGGAAGTACTGCGCCTTCGTAACGCAGCAGCCATATGGTATTTGAAGAGAAAATATTAAAATTTGACTTACTTGGCTGAAACTTGGCATAAAGGGGTTGTTCGAAATGCCCACGAAAACGGTGCTAAAGTTGCGCGACAAGGGTTTTTTTTTGTAAGATTACTGTAGGGGTACGATATAAGGTCTCATCCTAAACAAGAAAGTAGTCGTTGATTCTACAAATGAGTGTGATAATCGGTTTGGCAAGTCAAATAACCTTACTATGTGAAGTCTCGATAATTTTGAGGTTTTGACTCCTTACTCATCGACGGTTGCTGCTAGCACCCTTGCAGTCAGCGACTCGTTCGATTCTTTGAGGGCGCCAAATCGATTTGTCGCTACATTCTACTTCTTTCTTACTTTGTTCAATGAGTCAGGCTCTAGATACAATTCATACACAATTCCAAATTATTGCGCATGGCCTGGACTGGTAACGGCTTCACTTTAGCTGATTACCCAAAAAATTCGCAAGATTTACTAGTTTTCGAAAAATGCCTGGATTTTTTCCAGTTTGTGTTCAAAATTCAAACACTTTGTGTTGGTTGCAGGCATGTAGCAACACACAATTTTAGCAAACATTATTCCCTACATATTGCCAAAGTTTGAGTGCGCCATATCCAAACAGAGTAAAGATACGAAAGAAGTTGCAAAACTGTTTCCAGCCTAATATATTCTTCACTATAGAATGGCAAAATTTAGGCGTGAATAAAGATTCAAAAGATGCTGTTTGTATCATAAGTCATCTTTTCTTGTAACTTCTTCAAAATATGCAGTTTGTGTTAGTAAGCACCGTGAGATGTATCAGAAATTTTGCTTATTGCCTGGTAAGTATAAAAAGCAAACTTTCTGCGCAAATGTCTTCAGATAAAGGAAGTACTGTTAGTCGTTTTATTGTTTTCCATATTCAATCAAACTTGCGGAGCCTCCCTGAGAAGGTTTTCAGTAGTAAGACGATGAAACCTATTAACTAGTGGTGTGGGCAATTTTCGAGAGGGGGGGGGGGGAATGGCGAGTTCCTTTAGATCAAGAGGAGTGATATCCATAACGCTCTTCAGAAATTCGAGCTACTTTCAAATTTTTTGCGTTCACGAAAGTAAATCAAGCTTCATAAACTCTTCGCTACAGACATTCACATGAAAAACAAGCTGCATGACTTCTTGGTTCATGCACTTGTCACCATTCACAAAAATGCCTACCAACCTCACCGTTTGGTTCACTTATTTAGTTGGGAACTCTCGTTATCGTATATGGTTTGCAAGTCTCTTGGATTAGTCTTCAATTTGTCAAGCACATGTAAATTTATGTCAAAATCGTCAGTCTTCAAGTGAGATCCAGAAAGCTAGGTATTGCTGTTTTCTAAGATAAGACTAGAAAAACGTGCATACTTGGAAATGTCCGAAACCGGCAAAGGATTATAAACAATCACAGGGTACATTCTTAGGACAATGTAGCGTAAATATGATAGTAGATAAACGGCACGCTGTCGGTGGAAGTTCTTATAGCTGCAAACGAACCAGAAAGGAACCAAGCCTCTTAGTCATGATAACCGCTTCACTATTTGCTTTCAAGAAAGGGGCCAGTTGTTCTTTCCTTGGCGGAACAAATTGACACCCATTGGCATCTACGTTATGCTCCACTCCGAAGATATTTATGATCAGTGAAATAGTCCCTGTTCTTCTATGCGTAGGTTGCGTATTCAGGTTTGAGATTTTGGATTCTGAGAGGAATTCAAAATTGGGGAGTGGAAATATACAAAGCTTTTGTTTAGAAAACTGGGACACGCGGTGTTTACCTTTTGCTTCGTAGGTCGTGCTATCTTGCATTGAATTTCCAACCAAATGCTGATCAGAAAGTTCGGTGCCAACTTTACAGCATGCAAAACTCGGATGCAAACGATCCATTTCGTCGTATTCGTAAGGAAAAGTATTTACGAATGAATATCTTTGCTTTTGAATCATCATTTCAAGCCTAAATTGTCTGTACCTAATGGCGAGATGAAACCTTGTTTTGTCATGTCTTAAATGACTTTTTTTTGAATATCGTGCAACTTGGTACTTTCACAGACGAGTGAAATTTGTGTAACATTGGGAAGGGTTTTATGTTTCTCCTTAACGTCAGTAGTACATATTACTACCGCTTCTACTTGTGTGAGAGTAAATGCCAAATGTAGAATGTGGAAAACCACAAATTACCCTCTAGTTGATTTCTGAGCAGGGAATGGTCAGAAATTAACCCAGCGCCATACCAAACATGCTGTATATTATCGGACTCGTCTTGAAACGCTGATTACAAATGTACGTTTATTATGTGCCAAGCGCATATCTGCGAGGAGTTTTGAGCGTTGAAATGTGCGATTTGTCAAGCGTTCTGTGGCGCATGTTCCACGAAATAGGTTTTAAAAACACTTGTTTAAGTTTTTAGTAAATGTGCTTCTTCCTTGTAACTGAAATAATCGTAGCCACTGTACATGCGCGCCATCAGGCTGCCATTCAAGGAAATATTAGGTTGGCGCGGAAGTTCTGTCGCACCATCTTCAAAAATTCATAGCTTCTGAGTTTCGCAACCAATTTGCTTCCTTTCATTTTTGTTTGGAAGAGCAAATCGTTCTTTCATAGCGGTGTCTTAGCGGCTTCCTAATGGGCGTACATTGCATAGTTAGAAACGGTAAAAGAAAATTACTCAAAATTTGAATTCCTGTGTAGGGTCATAAAAAATCGAAAGTTGCAGTAAAAATCGGAGCTGTCAGTATGATAGGTTTTATTAGCTGCTCTTTCTAAGTGCGCAAAGTTTGCGGTAGCTGAGCGTCTCTATGAAAAGTTATGATTTTCGAGGAAAATCCCAAAATAAACCAAATCTGGCCTTTTCTATTGCTTGCTCGAAAATCATAACTTATTATAGAGACGCTCAATCAGCGCAGTTGCACGATTAGAAAGAGCAGCTGATAAAACCTATCATACTGACAGCTCCGATTTTTACTGCAACTTTCGATTTTTTATGACCCTGCACAGGAAATTCAAAATTTGAGTAATTTTTTTTACCGTTTCTAACTATGCAATGTACGCCCATTAGGAAGCCGCTAAGACATCGCTATGAAAGAACGATTTGCTCTTCCAAACAAAAATGAAAGCAAGCAAATTGGTTGCGAAACTCAGAAGCTATGAATTTTTGAAGATAGTGAGACAGAACTTTCGGGCCAACCTAATATTTCCTTGAAAGGCAGCCTGATGGCGCGGATTTACAGTGGCTACGGTTATTTCAGTTACAAGGAAGAAGCATATTTACTAAAAACCTAAACAAGTGTTTTGAAGACCTATTTCGTGCAACATGCGCCACAGAACGCTTGACAAATCGCACATTTCAACGCTCAAAACTCCTCGCGGATAGGCGCTTGGCACATAATAAACATACATTTGTTATCAGCGTTTCAAGACGAATCCGATAATATACAGCATGTTTGGTATGGCTGGGTTAAATTTTGACCATTTCCTCGTAAGCTGATAAGTTGGCCCATTTTTTTGTTGTACGATGTCTGAACGAAGAAGCCGAAAACTTCCAATCCTTTCATTCTTTTGATGACTAACTAGGCAGCGCTTATCAACAACGAGCTGGTCAGGGTCGCCTTTTAACGTGGAATCGGAATCGCTCTATTAGGTAGAAGAACTATGAGTTCATATGAAGTGATACACGTCAGAGCTCAGCAGAAGTGGCGCTTTCACACGCTCGATGTCGTTTTTTGAGGGAAAAGCGAAGAAGAACAAGTCAAATTCCTACCCGGAAACCTGACGAAAAATTGGAGAACATAACTAACTCTCACCAAGCCCGAATTTGTAGGTCAACGTGATTGTACCAGTCACATGTGAATTAGCATGTTACAAACATGGCTAGTGCATAAACCTGTGTGCACATGTTTTAACGTGTCAAAACATCTTTACAAACAAAAGTATAAACAATCGCTTTGTTTACAACGAGTAAGCAACGATGAGTCACCAAATTTGGTGTGTACAGCCACGGCGACAATTAAAAGAAAAGAATGAAAATTTTGAGAAAAAATTGCGTGAACGAGAGAAGTTGTGTTTTTCATTTTAGATTGCACGCGCGCAACCTGGGAGACCCTAAGGTTGCGCGGATCCAGGAAAAGTTATGAACTCTCAGAATTTTTCCCCCTCCTTGCAAAAATTTCCAGTTGTTTTTACATAAATCAATTCTTTAGATAAGCTCTACCATGCTTACTCACCTTCACCTAAGTTTCATTCCCTATGCTTTTTTGTGGCTTTTGATGTCATAAAAACAGCCTTTTTTTCGTATTTCGCCTTCTAAAATCTGACTTATTCTTGTCTTTTCCTCACTTCAATCCATTTTTTTGTTGCAGACTATTAAAGGAGCCTATACATACACTGCAAAAGGTATCTCATTAATTTCTGCAGTATCAAGGCGACTTCGTTTTCGAATTTCTCAAATGCCTCCTCTTGCTGGGCCCCGTACATAGTCACCCTGCATCATCAGCAAAGCAGCCTTTATTTTGCGATCAGAGAAGAACTGTGCAATGAACTGTACACTATTGCCTCGCAGAAGCATTCAATTAGAAATTTGATAGGTTGAAGTCTCTCGGACAGTTTCTTTGAACTGTAGGAGAATTGCTTACATTGTTACGTATTCGTGAACGTTCAGTCCGCAGTTCAGGCTAAGTAGTTAGCCCTACAACCTCTCCGTATAAGTTTTCAGAGAACACTGTAGGTGAATTACTTATCCTTCGAAATCAGCAGATTTGAAGTCAGATTGCTTTGCTAAATTCTGGACTTGCTTTGCCAACGAACCTATAAAGTGAAAATGAAATTGCCTTGTGAGTACTACTTCGTGTTCACAAGACAATAAAGAACCAAAATGTTTGGGACACCGACAGGACAACAATTGAACAAACCATCATCATGCGTTGGGCCAAGCAAACTTGCAATGATTCTTGCTGAAAATATACAATGAAAAGAGTGAGGCGGCCGGGAATCCACCGCCGGGAGCGCAGGTTTTTGCTACGCATTTAATATTACTGGATTAACATGGAGCGCTTAGCTAGAAGGTCGGCTTGGTCCAAGTGATGCGTGGAAAATAAGGTCAAAAACGAACGACTTAAATCGCCGAGCCAGTCTTCAATTCAACTGATCTATGAGAGTGAATAGGTCGTTGAGCCGACATAATATTCGGCTTGGTCCAAGTGATGCGTGGAAAATAAGGTCAAAAATGAACGACTTAAATCGTCGAGCCAGTCTTCAATTCAACTGATCTATGAGAGTGAATAGGTCGTTGAGCCGACATAATATCCAGAAGAGCATGTAGCTTGAAGCATCGTTATAATTTAGTTTAGAGAAGGATCCCCTTGCCCCACATCTTAATGGCGACGTACTTGAATTTTTAATGTCTTTCTTTCAAAACTCGACTATTCTGATTTTTCTTCTTCCCCACAGAAAATGTGCAGAAAATTGTGACGAACTCAAAAATACTCTGAGAAGCGCGAAGTGTTTGTTTGTTTTGAGTAAGCAGTTGGCTGCTAACTGGTCAACTACAAAGTGTGCTTTCTTTCCGAAACACAATGAGTGAACCATAGGGGAAACACGGACAGGTTTTGCTTGATTTTGCCGCAACCCAATACTTTATCGCTTTGCTTTTTTCGCTTCGTCGCGCCATCGAAAGCTTATCGTCATTTTAGCCGGTACCCAAGCTTCCAACCGTCGACGAAGTGAGGAAAGCGGTTCCGGCACATTGCTTCGAGAAGAATCTCGTGAAATCCATCAGCTACCTCGTGCAGGTTCGTCAACACCGGCTTAGATATGCAGAACCTGTTTTTGCGTTTTTCTTTGATTTCCTAGCTTTTTAGGATCTATTGATTCTTGCTGGTCTATACCTGATCCTACCTTACGTTGAGCAGTACTTAGGATGGATGGGATATCTTGCCTGGTAAAGCCAAAATTACAATTTTCTTGCAATTTCCATCCGAAAAGTGGAATCTTCAAGGTGCTGGGCCTTCGGATTCTGTGGCAGTGCCCTATTCGTCATCGGTCACGACTGTGGACATGGCTCTTTCTCAGAATACGAATGGGTGAATGACCTTTGCGGCCATATTGCTCATGCCCCTATCCTCGCCCCCTTCTGGCCATGGCAAAAAAGCCACAGGCAACATCATCAGGTCAATTTTTTATCCCCCTTGGTCTAACTTCAAAACTTTTCAAGTACTTTCTCTCTCTAGTGTAAAACATCTCTTTCAGTACACTTCTCATTTGGAGAAGGATAAGGGTCATCCTTGGGTAACCGAAGAAGACTTCAATCAAAGAACAGCAGTGGAGAAGTACTTCGCCATGTTTCCTCTCTCGGGATGGATTCGGTAAGTGTCCTTTTTCGGACAAGAAACGTCTTGAAAATTGAAACATAAAGCAGCGGTAAGGTTCAGCATACTGAAGTATTAGGTTGTCCCAAAAATCTTTTCAGATTTGATTTTTCGACACCCTAGCAATTTCTGCGTAAATTTTCGTGGGAAGCGGAGTAATGAAGGAGTAAATCGATCTCTACAAGATGGCTTACAAACATTTACACCAATATTGACCCAAACATATGGATCCGAAAAATAAAAAAATACAAGTGCACAGAAACTGAAAAAATCAGATCTCCGTCCAGAGAATTCCCAAGGACTCTTGCTCAAGCATACAATACCCATAATCATGTGCCCAACCATAATATTTACTGATAGACGTACTGTTAAAGCCAATGCGTTAAATAGATTTTACTGCATATGTTTGATTACGGTGTACATTGCTGCATTTTTCTATTGCTAAAACTCAAAAAATTGCATGTTTTCGCAAAAGCTAGCCGAGCTGTTCTTACGTAGGTAGGTTCATTAAACCTTTATACATATACTCAAATTTTCAACCTTCTATGAGCTTTCTTTCTCGAGAAATATGGAATTTAGCATAAACCAGTAAAGCGACATTTTCCGGTTCTTTCGTGGTTTTGTCCTATTTTTGTTTTTCGATTTCTGCAAAACTTCAGCAATGTAAACATAAATGTTTGACAGAGGAAGTATATGCTTGAGCAAGTTAGAGGATTGTAGACTATTTCTGAGCTGAGATCCGACTTGTCAAGCATTTGAAAATTTTTCAACTTTAGATTCAAACTTCACGTAGATCCAACCTTTTGCAATTTTTTTGAAGATCATCATGTAGAGCGCATTATCGAAAAGTCATTTGAGCCCTTTTTCAAAAATAGAGGAAGCAGACATGAAAAATCTTATGGGACAACCTAATAATAGATATTGGAGATTTCCGAATATTGTGTCGAAATCAAAACATCGCTAAGGATGTCCAGTTTCACCCTCTGCTTCCACTTTTACTTTGTAAATTTCATTAACTAATTACTCCCCCGCATTGGCAATTTGTTGCTCTGCTCTGCAAGTCTTTCATTTGCAAGTTTTACCAGAAGACTGACTAATCCGTGCCACCTTTGAATAGGGACTCTTAAGGCATCGTCAAAATGGGTCGTATGGGTCCCTGATGTTGAACCAGTGTTCGATAAACATTCTCATGCAAACATCCTCACCTTGTCACTCTCATGATTTTCAAATTCTCGTAATCGTCAATAAGAGTTCTGGTTTGTCACAAATAGATTTTCAAAATTAACCCCTTGAGAAGAGCATGTCTCTGCGAGGATTGCTTCATTAGAACTAACATCTGAGCACTCTAGCAACGCTTTGCTCTGGAAAAAAAAGAACAGTGAAACCGGACAAAACGCCCTAGGAAAGATTGAAACTAATGTTTGATTTAGTTCAAGATTCTTGGTAGATTCAAGATTATGATACGATTTTCGCAGGTTACTCGAGGCAAATTCAGGACATTTTAATTTATAGAACAGAAATAATGGCTTTTTGACTGGAATTCAAATGCGATTACAATTACAGCAATACCCTTTATATGTCAAACAAATGTAACCATTCAAAACCGTTTGAAAATTGAGTATTCAAAAAAAGTAGACAGTTTCCACTCGAAGTAGCTGTTTTCTATCACAGTAACAACTTACCAAATAAAAACAATATTTAGTTGACAAAATATGCCCTTCAAACACTGTAGTAGACTGTAAAGGTGCTAAGAACTCGAGTTAAAGAACTCCTGAATAACAACATGAAGAGCCGACTGGATCAGTAGTAAAGGTCCACTGCAGAAACTTTCTGATCAGCCAAAAATATGGTCCAAAAAGGAGAGCTCCTCTGGGGTTTTCAGAGATTTGGGTTGCAAGACTAAGGACTGCTTTTTGCAGACCTATAAGTGGTAATTTTTAACGGGTATATGATTTTTTACGGGTAGTTGACAGAGCCTTCGATTTTAAGGTATTCTAAGAAATTTTGGAATAATTCTTCTCGAATTATAAGGGAACGTGTGCGGAGCTTCATTTCGATCGAATATCTCAATCATCTCTTGATAAGCGTTCAATCGCTGTCAAGAACATCCCTCAAGAGGGATCCGTAACCGAAAGATAAAGTGCTCCTCATCATCGCCTCCCACACTTGATGACATCTATCTCTGTCGCGCTTTTTCACCCGAACCCCTTTTTTCGCCCCTGGAAGAATCCTGTTCTTCCGTGCTTCCCTCTCGTTTTGCTGCGGTATGTCGAGCGGAAAAAGTGCTTCGTTAGCACTGGCAGAATCAGCTGATGTAGCGAGAAGCTGAGAGCACAGCGGCAAGTGCGCGCTCGACGTTTGTTTGCTTCTTATGGGATTATACGAACGATGAGAAGCCGGTAGCTTAACACCTGTTGATGCAGCCCTGGCTGGAGAATAGCTTTGAAAAAGTGAATTTGTACTGAGTTTACGTTTTCCCAGCTGGAATCCCATCTACACGGTGGTTGGACTTCCGGACGGATCTCACTTCTGGCCATGGTCGCGGCTCTTCACCAATACGACGGACCGGGTGAAGTGCGTCATCTCGGGATTGGCTTGCCTATTCTGCGCATCTGTGAGTTTTGCTCTTCCTGAAAAGAAGAATACTGTATCGCAAGAATTCATTCAGGTTGCCTTCTACATGTGCGACTACTCGATCTACAACTGGCTGAAGTACTACTATGTCCCACTCACTTTCCAAGGCCTAATCATGGTAATCATCACCTATCTCCAACATCAGAACGATGAGATCGAGGTGAGTAACGGCCCCTGACTGGCTCTCGATATCGCTTCAATGTAAAGTGGCCGTGAACGGGTGACTTTTATTTGCACAGGCGTTTCATTCCCAAATTTTCCGCACTTTCAATGCTCTTCTCCAGGTTTACGAAGGTGACGAATGGTCTTTTGTGAGAGGTCAAACCCAGACCATCGACAGAAAATATGGATTTGGTCTTGACACTATCATGCATCACATTACAGATGGTAAGCTCTATGACTATGAATATTTATTGGGAAATCCCATTGGAAGCGTTTCAATTTTCAAACTTTGGAAGATGTACTGCCGAGGTGGAAACAAAATCTGGCGTGGTTATCTGGGTTAAGTATTTGATATCTTTCCTCGAAAAAAAAAAACGTTGCAAACTCATATGAGACTTTACAATTTTCGCCTTTTTTTCAGAAAATTTTTTTAATGCTAGCACAATATCAATACGTTTTCCAGCATGATTTCAAACTTCCACTAAGATCCAGCTCTTCTTAACAATTTTGCTAGTGCCTTTCTTTCAGGCAAGAGTTACTACAACGACCCTTGTCAAAGTTTTTTTTTCTAGTGCAAGTCACAAACCAGTTAGTCCAAACAGTGTTGAAGAGAGCTCTGAGTAATCGGTAAACCTGGTTTGCAATATGAAATCACTCGAATTTTATACAAGATGACAAGGAGTTCAAGTACAGTCTCCAGTTTCTGTCAAAAGCCTCTTGAAAGCACTGTGCTTGTAAATTTTTACTTTGGAATGGGTGCAAACTAAGTTTAGAGAACATGTGTATATTCAGCCTCTTTCCATTACTGCTCAACCTGGACAATTGGAAAATTCGAGCTTCATAGTCATGATCAGGAAAAATCACTGCGGATCTTACATATTATATCATACATCAATATCATAGAGTACAAATTGTATCTAATTTACCCACTATGGTTATATGCATATTATGCACGTAATGCATATTTAGCACTGGCATATGCGTTAAGTTAACCAGAACCTTCTAACCCTACCTTCAGTGAAACCGTGTTACCATTAGCTTTGCTTTAACATGCTGAACACAGTGCATGGTATTAGATGGGCTTCTCAAGAAGGCTCATCTTATATATAAAGCTGAATGTCTGTTTGTATGTATGTCTGTCTGTCTGTCTGTATGTCTGTCTGTACGTATGTTCCGAATAGAAAATTCCATTTCTGAACCGATCCGGACCAAACTTGGCACACATACACTACGGGCCCCGGCGGGTGTCATAGGCCACTTTTCGTCATCGATCGATATCGATTTTATCGATTTTTATCGATTTTTTTGCTGAGTTCACCTACGGGGCTGGGAGTTGGCACAGGGGGGTAATCGAGCATGGGGATTCCGAATACAATATTGGTTTTCGGGATTATCGATTACTTTTATCGATTTTATCGATTTTTTTGCAAAGTTTGAGCTAGGGGGCTGGGAGTTGGCACAGGGGGGTAATCGAGCATGCTGATCATCCCCAAGGGGGGTGATCAGCATGCTCGATTACACCCCTGTGCCAAATTTCAGCCCCCTAACTCAAATTTTCAAAAAATCGATAAAATCAATAAAAGTAATCGATAATTCTGAAAACTAATATTGTATTCGGAACCCCCATGCTCACTTCCCCCCTGTGCCAACTCCTAGCCCTGTAGGTGAACTCTGCAAAAAAATCGATAAAAATCGGTAAAGTCGACATCGATCGATAACGAAAAGTGGACTGTGACACCCGCCGGGGCCCGAAGTGTATGTGTGCCAAGTTTGGTCCGGATACGGCGGAGCCGGGTAAGCCAGCTAGTAGAACCATAATATACACCCAGTATCTTTGCGATTTTTTGGGAATTAGGGGTACGGGACAGTGTGATTTTACACGAATTTAGCCTCAAAATGCTAATGGATTGCTGAAATTCCCTCAAGCATGCAACGAAGCGGGAATTAGATATTTTGGAATTTGTCTTAGGCATCTTTTTTGAAGCACAAAAACACAATCGGAGGGATTAAACAGTATTTGCATAGAATTGGCGTTGCGCGAGTTCTAAAGCGCTGTGGGAGGTCGTCATTTTGCCCAATTTGCTAGAAATTTGTGGTTTGAAATAATCAAAGCATTTCAGGCCATGTTGCGCATCATTTCTTCTTCACCAAGATCCCTCATTACAATCTCATGGAGGCCACTGAAGCTGTTAAAAAGGTAGTTTGTGTGGGACTGAGTTCTTATGTTCAAGCGCTTATCTCTCATTTCTAGGTGCTAGAACCTCTGAAGGATACCCCCTACGGTTACAAGTCGGAAACGAACTACGACTTCTTCTTCAAATACCTCTGGTCAAACATTAAGCTCGACTACCTCATCAACAAGAGCAAAGGTGTACTCCAGTACCGAAGCGGAGTTGAGAAGGCAACCAAGACGGAATAAACTTGACCCCCCTTTCATCTCACAGTTTTGTGCTGTCAGTGTGTTTAGCAGTTGTTCTTGGGATGAGCTTGGCTCTCGCTGTTTGTCTAGCGCGCCAGCAACTGGCGACTTGTTTCCTTGTCCAATTGCCCCAACGTTCAGGGCTTTGCGTTTCGTTCGGCGGCATAGCTTATGAGATAATAAAGGTCTTGATTCAATAGAGTTGCGCTTTCGAACACAAACTAATTACGGAAGAGCTATGTAGCTAAACAACCGGAAATCTCCGGCTTTTACAATATTTGCCTTCCTCAATTAATGCCGAGAGACACTTGTCGTTGTCGTCATTGAGCAGCCATTCTCTGAAGCTGAGATCATAGCAGTGCCCATCCTCTTAGCAAACAAATACTCCATTGTTTGAATTGCCTCTATCGTCTGGTCCAAGTCACCAAACTTACTTATCCGCGGAATGTTTGAGAAACTCAAGCACAGCATAAAAAGTATCGCTGGTTATGCTGGACCCAATTTTTTGGTCATTAGTCCCGTTATTTGCTTCTTTGCACACAAAAAAGTTCTCCAATTGAATATATTATAGAATAAAGTGCTAGAGATTGCCCAAATGGGAAATTTTACTCAGATTAGACTAACAGGAAATTTTTATGGGCAAGTAAAGTCCTAAATCCATCCGGTATCTTTTTTTTAATTTTTCGAGAAATCTTCTAAGTAAACTTTGCTGAAGATTTTAACTTGTATGGAACCTGAACACGCCAGACATTAACTTTATAGTGGATATACAAGATACTAGATTTGGAAAGGCGATCAATTTAAACAAGTCAATGATGTATCTTATTTCTTATGGTCAACTTGATAGAAAGGTGAAAATTATAGAAGGGTGTATATAATACAGTGACGACAACATGACCCATATGGTGGTTCACGCAATGACTGCAAGACGGACAATGTGACCCTCATGGTGGGTCATGGCTCAAATTCTGTTGAAACAACTACTCTTATAAAGTGCATTCGTTCAGGAATTCTCCTTGGTCTAGCAAATACTTCGGTGTTTCCAGGCTGCTTCTTAAAATCAGTGTGGATATACTCTAGATAATAACCTGCGCGATTTTAGCTAAAAATTCTCAACATATTTGTGAAAGGCATTGTCCCACAGGGCGAACAACTAAAAATTGGCGTTGTCGTCAACGTATCAACCTGATATAATAAATTTTGCGTGAAAATGCAAGCTATAGAACTACCCATTCCAGTCCTTTCTAGAATTCCGGCTTGTTAATCTCTCCAGTGTTTTACAGCACTCGTTGAACCACCTTTTCCGGGTACAACTCACTGTTGACTCCGATAAAAAGTACATTCGATCAAGTAAACGCTGTTGAGAGGCTTTCTTGTATTAAGAGCAAGAAAGATAGTCTATTCTAAACTTCGTCTCCGTGTTTGACAACTTCCGCCCGAGTTGAGAACCAGCTCTCAGAAACGCGACTTGTTTGCCTGAAAGTAAAGCGCGATAGGTCCAACGAAAGAAAAATCGAATTCCAAGTGGGATTGTCGGAAAAAGAGCGGAAGAAATCCTAGTAGTTTGTGTGCATGTCTTCTTCAATGTTCACTGATTCAGCTGGAGAACAGCTTGGTTGAACAGGAAGTGCAACAGCTCAGCACAGCTGTTTAAACACTTCGTAATCACAGTTCTAAGAGTCTTACTGGAGAGAAAGAAAGGCAGAAAACCGAGCTATGTTTGCCGTAGTATCGGCTGGTTCATGTTGGCATTCTCTTTCGAACGGAATTAGAATTTTACGTAAGCGTTTTGATTTTTCGTCGAAAGGAAGAACTTAAGATTTGATGAGAGTCAGAATGTAATAGCTTCAAGGATGCTTTTGCACGAAATCGAGAATAAAGAAGGGTACTTGAATACTTGAAGATAGTGCTATATGTTGCTGTAGAATTTCGTTTTGAAGAAAAGGAAGTCAAATCTCGTAAAACGCCTTTCCCTTAATCGATGCTGCGAAAAAATTTGAGGCACAAAAATCTTCCGTGTGGATGGATTATTTGTTGGCGTAGAGGTGTTGCAGATTTTGTCCAGGGTGGCAATTATATAAAGAGTATCTCAATGAGATTCAGAAAATAACCACTGTTTGAGTAGGAATGTTTTTTTCCAATGAAGAAAAGCGAGGAGTAGTAAAAGAATTTTATATTTTGATTACATAAATCTAAAATAGCACATCAATTTTACAGTTGTTCGCTAACTACAGAAATCTTGCGAGGATCCGCTTATCAAATTACTCATCTGTACATCTACTACAGTATAAAATCGAAGATAAAGTCGCAGAATTATCATTCTGGAGATCGAGTAATTTCGGGATAAAACTGTCCTTCAATGCCAGCAGAAAAACCTGAGCACCAGATATGTAATAGAGGAAGCTTAGAAGTGCCTTTTAACAAAATCATGTAACCAAGTAACCACAAACTACATTTTCGCAGAGATTTATAATTGTTTTTTAATCGTCCTGATACTTTCTCAAAACGAAAAAGAATTTTCAAGCAGGAATGGGAATCAGAAGCTCAGTTACCGGAAATACCCAGATTTACCTCAGTTACCTTTGAAGCCGTTTCAATAATTCCAAGGTTTTGATATATCATATATGTGATACCCCTCAGCCAGGAGCCCTCTGCCTGCCGCGCGCACTGAAGAGAGATGCGGCGCGCGCGGCACTCACGCAGGATGAGCGCTTCTGTTTGAGTAGTAGTGTGTGTGGTGCGAAGTTGAGTCATAATGAGGCTCGCGCTAGAGCTGGACCGGGCAGCGGATTCCAGCGAAGAACCCTGTGGAATGTGCGCTCCTGGCGGCTCCCGCGACGCCGAGCAACTAGCCAACGTGCTGCTCGCGATGCTGCTCTCTATCCACTTAAATGCCAAAAAAACTACTGCTCAAATGCTAAAAAAAGTAGGAATGTCGGATACTGGCATGCGCTAGTGACTACTGGCTGATGCTCGAAGGACTTTTCTCTCAGAATACGTCAGCAGTTTTGTTTAAAATTTATGATTTGGAGCTCTCGGAAAAAAATGGCTTGACAATTTTCTGTTTTTATATACAAAAAAATCACAAAACAAAAAACCTTGCATAGCAGCGTTAGAAAACTCACATAAGCACATCTAAATTGCATGGTGGAACTTTTCTCAAAAAGTTGAATAATAGTATCTATGAGTATATGTTTGAATTACAACTGACTTTCTCGTACTGAAACGCGCCCATTGATTTCTGTAAACCCATATAACTCTGAAGCCAAATAAAAAGATAGTAAAATGGCGATGTCATATTTTTTGATTAGAGACAAAGGCATCATATTTTACCTGTGGCTATTAGTGTTATCATACAATAATGGTAATGTCTGATGATGATATGATATAATGTAGTCTTTAAAAACTCGTCTTTGATGGAAGACTCTATAAAAAAAGCGGATTTTCATAAATATTAAAACGATAATGATCAAACTATCATTGTGCATTTTCACTTATATCCTTGAGATATTCATTTGATGTTCTTCATCTTGGATAGTTTAAACATCGAAGAAGTTATACACAAGCTAGTATAGCTTATACAACTTAAATGAAACTCTCGGCTATTCTTCATTTATCTCAACCGCATTGGGAGGTGAGTAGCATGATTACAATTTCTTGAAAAACTAAGAAAAATACCTTCACACCATTTTTAACAGCTATGCATTTTTTTATTTTCCAAATCATATTCATCTCTAAGTACCCGAAATAATAAGGTATAGAACTTTCTTTCTTCACTGAAGAGATACAGAAAAGATCTGTAGATTTTTTTTTATTTCTCCAAGGGCAGAAGCAAAAGAGTTTGGTAATTTTTCTAACAAAAATTCAAAATCATTATTTCTTATGAATACTTCAATTTTTGTAAGGCTGATAAAAGCTGGAGCTTTCCAGAAAGATTACTATTAAAGAGCTTTAGGCTGTGATTAGAATTTTAAGTTTTGGCATGGTCAGGAGCAGAAACTGTGAAAATTTCTCTGGAAAATGTGACTTCCAACAAATTTTAAGTTGAATGTGCGTCGATGAATATCTGCGAACTGAATAGCGACATAACTGAACCGAGTGAACAATTTGAGCATCCTAGCGCGGTGCAATTTATCGCACGAGCAAAGAAAACAAATGGACAACGATGAGCTTCGGTCCCGCTGCCAAACCACTTTACTGAACGATTCCGAATTGAAAACACAATCACTTTAGCGAGTTTCTACAAGGTTTTTCCTCTCCACCATGACACATGCAGAGCAGCAGAGAAAGTGCGCGAGAATCACCTTGGAACATTCTTTTGGTGGGCGGAGGCAATGATGCAGACGAGCAATCGAGGCGGCGAGCAGGTGTTGAGCAGCCAATCAGCAAAGCGGTCGCCAAAAAGGAGGGATGATCCGGTTGAAGCGAAGGCGTGGTGAGGTATATAACGGCGAGCAGCCAGCCACCGATATCCTGCTCAGAACATGCGTCGTCTATTCATCAGCTTCTGCCTCGCAGGTAAAGCACACACACAAAGGGTTTAATACCCAACACATATTCGATACACTTCAACTTGCTACACTGCACTCACTTCTTGCACTTTTATTGAACTTTGTGAAGTTGTTTTGATGTTTTGTTTTGCTTTGTGCGTTTACGGAAGTGCTTCAGCATTCGCAGTAGCGGATTCGAAATCTGGCGATGAGACGCCTCAGCATTGGCGGGCGATCCTCGGCGACATCTGCCAGCTGCCCTCGTTCCCCCGGGCCACTGGCGACCCCCATCGCTACGTTGAATGCGTTCGACAAAGCTCCTACGCCGCTGACAGGTGAGAAGCCCCGCACTCTTGAATCCGCACCCGTTTTTCCCACTTCTCAAATCTCAAGTGCACCGGGGCTCGTTGGCTACCCTCACTAATTATATCTGAAGAGCACAAATGCGAGCAGAAGAGCTCCTCATCAGCTCGTCTTTGATCTCTACAAACAGCTTCCAGTATTATTGTTGAGTGTGGACAACTGCTCTCTTGATGTCCGTCTGTTTGCGCTTGTTTCCGAACCGCCTCAAGAACGCTCGAATAAACAGTCTCCACGTGTTCGGAAATTGTGTGGTTCCGTTCTCAAACTATCAGAAAGAAGTGAAGGAAATTGCGACAGTTTTCCCATTTCCAGGAAAGATCTCGGAATTTGGCTTCTCCGCGAGTGTCTTCCTGGCTACGAATTTGTGGCCTCCGCGCGTCGTTGCAAGACCATCCGTTCTGTAAAGCGACAGCAGGAAATGTGCGAGTCGAACAATGCCACCCAGTATCAGTTTTGCCCCGAGAAATCTTCTACCGAGGTGGGAAACATTCTCAGATTATTGCCCATATCTTCTCTGGCTAGACTACAGCATGTTTCTCCTCAACAATATAGCTCGTACTTACTTTGAGGATGTCTTTATTTATCAAAAAGAAATACGCACCCACAATTTTGTTTTCTCCAAAAACCGACTGTTTCTTGTCTACAATCTGTCTTTAACCTCTCCTTGCCCTTCAAACCAAACTTATTCCATGAAACATTCTTTTCACTGCATTGTTCTTTTTCGCAATTTCAGTATGTTGTCGAGGAAATCCGTGAAGCTCCACGTCAGTGCTCGTGCCCTAACGGCGAACAGAACTGCGTATGCCCAAGTCCGGAAATTCTAGAACCAGTTAGCGTACCAATCAACTCAGAAAAGGCTCGACGTTCACCAGTGAGCACTTCGGTCTAACTAGTCTCCCCCCTTAGCACTTAGTCATAGCTGTTAGGCGATGTTTGACAAGTAGGCGAAGGTGCGCTTTTTCTCACTTCAGCAGCAGCAACCGCTCCAGTTCTCTCAGTACCAGTCTTGCCCATGCCCAGTTGCTCAGCCTGCTTGCTTGTGCGTTTCATCGAATGGAGGCCAACCTGTAAGCTCTCAGATTAGCTTATGGTCAAATTTGACCATTTGCAAGATTTTATGCTATAGGCCCTCATGTCCATCAGTTGCTGTCCCCAAACGCAGTCCACGCCATGCGTATGTCAGCCACAACAAGTTCAAGCTCAACCTCAACCTCAACCACAACCACAACCACTACCACAACCACAACCTCAACCTCAGTATCAACCACAACCTCAATATCAACCTCAAGATCAGGTCTGTGTAACCAGCACGTTACCAATTCATTTCTAACGGCGAAAATCTTCTGAATCAGAACTGCCAAACCACAACCACTCAGCAGCAGTACTGCCCTCAGCAAGTTCCCCAGCAAGAAGCTGCCATCATCCAACCACAGCCCTGCCCACTTGGTAAGGCGACTCCAGTATTTTTGGCACAAAAAATTTCTCATGTATTTCCAGTACAAGGCGGTGGAGTACAAAATGCCCAGTATCAAGGAATTTGCTCTTGGATGATCGATCCTCTAGCAGTCGACCCCGAATCCCGCAGCCACTACCTTCAGTGCCAGCCCGCTCCCAATAACTTGTTCTGTGGCCGATGGCAACGAATGCCTTGTGCTCCGGCCACCGTTTTCGACGTTCAAGCGCAGGTACTCTTATCATTAGGACTGAAATTTAACAAAATCATATATGCTCCGCTCAGGTTTGCGTTTGGGACACGACGGCCACTCCACAAGCAGTCCCTCAGCCGATGCCCCAGCCTCAGCCGTTGCCACAGCCCATGCCCCAGCCTATGCCCCAGCCAATGCCCCAGCCAATGCCCCAACCAATGCCCCAGCCCATGCCCCAGCCTATGCCCCAACCAATGCCTCAGCCTCTGCCTCAGACTCCTATGGCTCCTTGTTCCTGCGTGGGCGGTGTTCAAATCGGCTCATGCAACCAAAACTACCAATGCCCTGGACAATCCGTGTGCCAGGTGGGACAGCAGGCAGGACAACAGGTAAGAATAAGTTTTTTAGTTCTTCGAAAAACTCTCGCATCGCATTACCGGCTGAAGTGTTTCGTGCGATGTTTGCGTTAAGTTTGCCATTTCGAGTGCGAAACGGGAGAACAATCACCTCTTTCACCGTTTCGACACCTCCACAATAGAACTTCCTCGTTTTTCAGTGCATGGTATGCTGCTACTTCCGTAGAAAGGTGCGCCGCTCCTAAACTCTTCACCTGTTCTCACCCATCCGATCCGCTACTGCCAGCTTTCTGTACATAAGTGGATGACATCTCACTAAAATATTCGAAATGAAATAATATAATAGGTGGTGTTCGCTGTTGGACCTACCATTATAACTGTATCTTTAGTAGTGTGGTCAAACCGCGTGTTTTTTTTTCGGGCTTTCTCTGGTGATTACAATTCACTGCCATGATGTTGTGTTGCGTTTTAATAAAGTTTTGCATATGATTCACCGAACACACAATCAATCTGAACTGAATTAGCTGCATCTGGAAACGATAAAAGGAGACACTAAATTGAGGAAAACATGAGAGCTCCAAGACATCTTTTGAGGGCCTCAAACAAAAATGGATTCGAACTCTAAGCATTCTCCCGCATCCATTCATCTCCAAACAGACGAAATATTATTGCATTTCGTTCGCAATTTCGTATTCAAAGAAGAAACAACCGGCCAGTTGAGCATATGGAACTTTTTTGTTTGCGCAATCTCTTGAGTACTCCAGTTAATCCAGTTGTGAACAATTTGCGACAACTTTCAGTCGTGCACGCACATATTCCACCATCCTGCCATACCGCAGGGGTTGCTAAAGCTTTGAGATATGCAAAATTTCGAAATTTGCTCCCTTTTTATGGTTCGTCCGGCAGGCTTACCTAGGATATGTGAAATTATGAGTTCATGAAAATACAAGCATTCGAAGGACGTACGCAACTGTTCTTTAGGCTGGCTCCTAATAGATTTTGAAGTATACTAAAACTTCATTTTATAATGATAAAGAGGCTTCAAAACCTCCTCTGTTTTAGTAGAGTAACAGCAAATTTTCAGTTGCAAGAAAAACACAAACAAGCAAATATTGATCTATCTGAACAAAATGCACCTTGGGATATGGAAGAGAAATTGTGGAACTTGTATTTCAACAGTGATCTCTTTTTTAGGGGTTAGATTGCCATCCAACCCAGGTGCCATATTATCTGAGATAAGCGCGCTGGAACTGTATCTATCCCAGTTTCCATTCAATCACCAAATGTAGCTTTTCGGCTTTTCCTTCGCACAAACCTAAATCCAAAAGGTCAAAGTTGCAATATATGAATGGGAGACACTAAAACTCAGAAGTATTACAGGAGCGCCACATTTCATCTTTTTCATCTAAAAAGAGAACATAAGAAGAAAACTGGTGCTCTGTGTATTTATGGTCATTGACAAGGAGCCTAGTAGACTTCCGCTCGCTACACGTTGGTGGGGTCATTCACTCTGCTCCTGAGACAAGCGTACATCTATTAGAAATTTAGAAATTGGGCTTGATTTCCCTTCCTGGTTGAGAAACTCAAGCGAGAAAAGTTCCCATGATTGCAAGAATGAGGAAAATTTGTCCGCAAAAATGATGACATTCCCGTTAGTGTGGAAAATGTCCATTTTTGAAGCGCAAGTGTTGTCGGCGCAGAACTATATAGGCGTTAGATCTGTTCGTATATAATTTATTTTTCTGAGACTGGTAAAACCATTGGCCGAGTCAAAATTAAAGGCTTTATCAAATGGTAAGAAGAAAAGGGAATTTCTAATTGTGGCTATGCGTATGCGCCCTAGAACGCTTACGTCGTATCTGCCTTGATTACCTGCTGAGCTTTTCATCGCAGAAAGTTATGACTATTTCTATTGAGTATATGCAATGCGGACAAGTGAGATCAAAAACGTGGATACTTCTTAAGTTTCGCTCAAACAAAACTGAAAAATGTAAGCAAATGATTTAGCTCAAATAAGCTCTTAAAATACATGAAAACTTGTACATCAACAATTCTGAAATACGCTTCACCTACGAGATTTATGTGTGAAAATCTTTCACCTATCAAATGGTTATTTGATGGGAATTTGGGGTCAGTGTCCATGGGTGCTTACTCATCTGTATCTCATGGCGATGATTACGGTAAACAAATTTTTTTTCATCGCAGAAGAATGTGTAAATTACTTGAGTAGATTCAATCGCTGTCGAATGGCTTACAAGCTGGCAATCAGAAGTGGATGAGCCATGAAGCGAAGCTGAGGTCAGAAGTGCGATTGGGGAGCCAAGTCTTTTCAGGTAAATTCCATATCGCGTGTCGCTGAAGCCCTGTGATAGATTGGACTTTTAAACCTCAAATTTGGGCTGCTATTGACCGATTCATGCGCTGAACGAAAATGCGATCGCCGCTGTAGATTGCATCTGTAGCCGGTCACCAACTCGCGCTATCCCCTGTTGGACCGCTCACTAGTGTTTCTAACTCCAAATGCCGAAAATTTCTGTATCATTACTTTTCGCATCTATAGGCATGCGATGGACTCGATCGCACGATCGAGCGGTAGTGGTGTTCATATTCTGTTCCTGCTGCATGTCTCTGAACGTGTTGTTCTCGAAAATTCGGCGTATACTCGAGATCAAAGAACTGGAGCGGACATCTGAGCGAGAGGCCGAGATTGTATCACTCATCTACTACAATTCGACCGTTGCAGGGTTTGTTTCGTCTTCATAATGTGTCTGAAAATCACTTACTTAGAATTACTTACTTACTCGTCTGAAAATTTTATTACGTAATATGCTTTATAAAAAATCTCCAAATCTATGCTTGTGCTATTACAAACCTTCTTTTGTTTGCAACGGTACCGTAATCTCATGTAGACTCTCTGCGTTTCTGAGCATTTGGTGTCGAAAAACAGTTTGTACCTATGTTGAATCTAACATACTAAGCATTTAAAGCGCTCGTACATCTTGAAGGTATGTCGCCGCATTCCTAGCATATATTGGGCCGTTCCAAAAGTATTTTCGCTTCTATGAACCAGCGCCACATTCGCCGGAAAAAATGATTTGATAGATATAGTTGGCATCGATGCAATTTTTCATGCTCTCTCAAACGGTTATATTTTTGCACAGCTAACCAGCTCGTAGAAGATTAGCAACAAATCGATGCATGGTTGTTGTCGTAGTCAAGCTTCGCAATTTTCTTTTGAATTTTTGCACTAATTCAAGTAACGGATAAATAAAGCAAACTCTACAGCATACAAAAGAACTTTTTCTTACATAGCTTGCTCTTTAAAGTTTTTCAAATTTTTTTTGTGCTATCGAATTCCATATTTTGTCAACTCCTTCATCAAACATCAAGCCTTGAGTGTCAGTCGATGCAGCTTTTTCCTTCTTTCTAACAGAAGATTTTTGTTTCCGATTAATAAACTCTACGAACTTGCTTTGTAGACTTGGTGCTGAATAATAATAAACATGATTATTTTTAAAGGCTTCGAAATCCGAAGATTCATTGATGCATGATTTAAGTCTGGGGTAGGACTGCTAAATCGGTGGTTTCAATGAAAATGCTATCAAATGATTCTGGCAAGTTGAGAAAGGAGCAAAAAATTGTTTTGTATCGTGTAGGATTTCCCATTTTTCGTTACGTGAACGAAAAATGGAAAATCTTTTTTGAAGGTTTTAAAAATTTTCTGATCGCTTGTTGGTCATACTGCTGCTTTCAAGATCTTCGTTTGATTCTGGTTTCGCGGAATGTGGCGCTTCTTCAAAAAGCAAAACTACTTTCGGCCTGCCCAATTGCTCCTGGCCAAACGAATTTCCTTGCATGTTTCCTTCCTCGTACGGAAATTTTGGAATTCCGTATGTCCTAGGTCAAACTCAATCGATGATGGTTTGAATTTGTCTCACACCACCAAAGTTACGCAGTACTAGATTATGTAAAAAAGCCCTTTTAATTTTGAAGATCAGTCGTTTTTTCCGATATTTCCTTGCCCTCCCGCTTGTCTACATTTATTAGTTCGCACTTTCGCTTTTTTCGTTTCCTGATCGATCGTCCATTGACAAGGAACAAAGACGAATAAACGCTTTCTGTAATATTCAAATAATTTGCCCAGTGGTTATATTCTTTCTCTCCTAAAACCCTTTATCTATTCGCCATATTTGCAATCTCACAAGAGTGAACAAGTCCCGTGTTTGTGAAGTCTCTATACTATTTGAAGTGGATGTCCGACAAGCATAGAAAACAAGCGCGCAAAGTAAGCAGTTTGCTACATTTAGCTTATGAGAACTATCATGCGAACTTTTCCCGTTTCCAATAAATATTACAATACCGCTCATAATTCGTCAAAAAAGTCGCCGAACTGCGGCGCACTCCGCCACACTCCGCCACAGTGCGCCGGAGTGTGGCAGAGTGTGGCGGAGTGTGGCAGAGTGCGCCGGAGTGCGGCAGAGTGCGCCACACTCCGCCGCAGTGCGCCGGAATGATCGTCAATTTAGCCATATCTCGCTTCAGAATGGACGAATTCTGAATCCGAGGACACCGTTCGATTCAGCTCGACAGACGCATCATCTTATGTATGAAGCTGAACTTCTGTTTGTCTGTTTGTCTGTACGTATGTTCCGAATAGAAAAATCCATTTCTGAACCGATCCGGACCAAACTTGGCACACATACACTTCGGGCACCGGCGGATGTCATAGGCTACTTTTCTTTATCGATCGATATCGATTTTATCGATTTTTAGCGATTTTTTTGCAGAGTTCACCTATGGGGCTGGGAGTTTGCATAGGGGGGTAATCTAGCATGGGGATTCCGAATACAATATTAGTTTTCGATTATCGATTATTATTATGGTTGAATTCAGTGTGCTGATAACAGTATTACCATTGATCTGTCGCTGATGACACATAGACAGTATACTATAGGAGTATGGTAGAGAGCCGCTCTGATCGAATTTGTTCTAAGATTTGCTCAAGATCACAATACCGCGCACAGAATGTCAAAATTTCCGTGAACTTCGCGGAATTCCGGGATTTTCACCAAAGTGCGTGATAATCCGGGAAGTTCGCGACATATCAGGATCCGCGAAACCATGCGAATCACGCAGAGAACGCAACGCCATAACATCCTTCGGAATGAATATATTCCGAATCCAGAAGCAGCATTGTATTCAGATCGTCGAGGCAAATATTTTGATAAACAGTATGCTCTCGATATTCCATTTCCAGTTTTTTCGAATTTTTTCTGTGGAGGTCTTTTCGCAAGGATGTAACGCAACGTCTGTGTAACATAAAAGATTCCAGTAAGCACTGTTCGATAGTACTGTCCTTGTAGATTATCGTGCGTTTAAGAGTAGCTGCAGACTGTCTCCCAAAAGAGACAGAAGCATTGGTGAATTTTGGAAAAATCACGCGTTTCTAAATTCTACTCGCCGTAACTTCCTTCGGAATGAACATATTCTGAATCCGAAGAGAGCTTTGTGCTCAGTTCATCAAGGCAAATCTTTCAATATACACCATATCCCTGATATTCCGATTTCAATATTCTCAAATCTTTCTGTAGACGTCTTTTTGTGAAGGTGTAAAGCAGCGCGCATTGCTCCTAGTAGACTCCAGCAAGGAGCTTTCGATAGTACTTTTTCTGTAGATTACGTAGCCCTAAAAAGTAGTCACAGGCACCTTTCCATGGGAGTTAGAAGGGCTGGTGAATTCTGGAAAAATCATGTCGTTCTAAATTTTTCTCAACGTAACTCTAAAATATGAAGCTCTCTTGCTAAGCAGATGTGATTTTCGTAATCAGCAGGTCGGATAAACCTTATAAGCAAGTTTTCCAAGATGTTCGAGTAATTTCATTTTTTGTCGTTTTACGCTCTGAAGCTGCCCGATGGATTTTGGTCAAAATGTTCATGCTCTTAAATTGTAAGGAAACTTCGCTTATAGAGGTTTTCGAACACGCTCTTTACGAAAATCGTGGTCTTTGAGGAAGACAGGGTCTTTTGGGAGAGATACGGTGAGGTGACTGTAACTGCATCACGAAAGTGCGTAACTTCGCCTCCACCTCTCACGTTGTCAAAGAACCTGCCTGCTTGCTTTACTAGCCAAAGATAGTAGGAGATGTGCTATCGAATGGCGCAAGACTCAGGCTCCAGTCTATAAAATTCGCCGAGTTACGAGCCTACGAAAACACGTTCTCATGAATTTTGCTCAAAATGTAAAGATCGCAGATTTCGTCGAAATTCCACCGTGAGTGCTTGTATGACGCTCGCATTGCGGATATTATGTTCGCTTCGCTCAATAACTCCACCGTATTGAATATGGTGCTTGCGTGTGCTTCAGCAATTGATATCAAAGCTGTTCTGTGGCTAAAGCTCAAATCACCAAATCTCACAATAAGATCCATTAAGAATGTGAAAAGATTTGATCAGCGTATTGTACAAGCACTCACGGTGGAATTTCGACGAAATGGTCTTCTTGGCCCAGTATATACACGGTATAGAAAGATCTAGGAAATTCGGTAACTTAGATTTTAGGTGTACGCTGCATTCATTTAACAAAATCGTCGCAATTCCCTTATCTTGAAGAGGTTTTCCTGCTTTCTAATTTTTTCAAAACTCACACTCATTTCGTTTATATTTCGCTGAAGGATTATCTCAAGATTCATTTATCTTTAAGTACATAAGCCAAACATAAAAATACTCAAGATTCAGATAACTTTTTCCTTTTTATCCTCTTTGATTGGAGCAGGTAAAGGTAATAGGAAAATATTCAAGATTACTTTTTACTCAAAAACGAATCTCGAAATACAAAGATTTTCGAGGAATGAGCGTAGATGATAATTAGGTATTCTGTGCCCGTATTCATCAAGTGATAATCTTATCTAAGCTGTATACAAATCTCAAGATTCTTTGAAGATTTCTGCTATTAGTCACATGGGAAGCGTTCGTTTGCAGATTTCTTTCTCCTATTAGAGAAGTTTCTTGAGCTTTTCGAATTTCAATAAGAGAGAAAATTGAGGGAGTTTTATTCCGACACATCTTGAGCATGGCACATGGACCTTTATCTTCAAAAGCACCTACTATAAAATTGTTTTCTCATAGATGGTGTAAAGGCTCTGCGATCCATTACTCTTGCCACTATTTTTGTTGTTTTCAGTGGTGAATCCTCGCTGTACCTGCTAATTCAGTCGGAAGATGGGCGATTTCCTGGTGATACTCTTTGTGAAAGTCGGAACGGCACTGCGCACATCACAAACAAGCTCAGGTGAACGCTTGTTTATCTTTGCAGAGCAGCTGTACAACTCTTTTTTAACTCATGTTTTCATCAAAAAATTCGATGTTTCTATGTACGATTAATGCTTCAGCACAGTTCCATTGGGCTCATCGAATGTTCTCGTTGGAAAGTGTGAAACCACTGCCGAACCACTCGATGTCTCTGTGCACATTGATGATTTCAGAGTTACGGTAAGCATAGTACTTGTTTGTGATACTCTCGCTACTTGATATTTCAAGCAGTCTATCATATGCGCACCCAGATTGGCATTTGAACAGAAACACACATTTGAAAAATGAATTTTTTCAAGCGTTTTCACAAGCAAAAAAAATTTGTTCTTGATTGATCGCCTCTGTTGAATTTTGGAAGGTTTCGACTAGTGAAGAGGCCACTAATGAGAGGATGTTGAGGTTATAAGATGTTTCCAAAAATACTGACATAACCTTACCGCTAGCTCGAACCTTGTTCTTAGTCTTTCGGAATCAAATTTCGAGTGGGTCATAATCTATCACTTGTGTCTGATATTTGCTCATATTTTGGCTATATTTAAGGCAGACTTGCAAACAGGTCTTCATGGAACTTCTCTGCATTTTTTTGTTCGCACGTTCCCCGCTATGGCGATGCTCGAACAATAGGCATAGTTTCATTAAGCACGGTAATCCATCTCTGCAGGTATCTATGCGATTGCACTAAAATCTGGAAGTGTGATACAGCTTTTTTCTACTTTCTGCGATCTTGTCAATGTTACTTTCCCTTCATTGGATAGTGCTGCCCCCTGTAAGGAATCCACTGCCACCTTCCTCCGCAAAAAATGGCTGCTGGGAGAACTATCCTCTGCGACATTTACGAGGCTTCTGTGTAAGTTGCATATAACGATGCGACTCCGAAATAGCTTTGAACGAGCAAATTCCTCAAATATTTATTTCCCGACAATTTACTGTGGTGTATATCACTAGTTAGTTGGTTTGGTACTCATTTTCCTCATGATTGAAATCGCACAAAACGTCCGTTTGTGTCCCGTGGCCGCCCTTTGCTGTCCCACCAAATATCACTGCAATGAGTGCTTTCTGCAATTTTACTACTTCTCTTGCTAACTTACCTTGGTCGTGCCGGTTTTTTCCTGCTTCCGCGAAAAAAAGTCACTCGTTTTGCCTTTGATTTTAATGGCTTCCGAGAGGTTCGCTTGTGACTGCGGTGAGATCGCGACCGCCTCCTACTAATGCTTTTCGAAGACGATGTTCTTCCGCTGGAACGCCTAGAAAATTAGAACTTGGTTCGTTGCCATTTTACAGTAGATTCTTCTTTACCTCTGCCTTCTACGGTGTATCGACGCAGTGTCCACAAGACTATTCTCTTTTATTTCTAAAAAGACCTTGTTTAAACAGCCAGATTGGAAGCTCTAGCTGAACCCCTTGTACTTGAACCTACTCGGATTACAGATGCAGATGCATGAGCTGTCATTCTTGTTCTTCAGAATAGACTTCAGTTTCGTGCTCGTGCTCTTCAAGCGGGCTGACCGGCTACTCGAACGGTGACTCTTGCTCAGTGTATTCCGTTGCTTCCGAGAAGATACCGGCATTGTCAGTAGTGTAGTTAGTTAAATGATCGTTCGCTAGACTTCGCCTCCTTTTATATCATCTTGTTTTGCTTGATAAACAACCTATATGGAGTCAAGATCATTATCAACCTCACTCATTTCAACATGAGCAGAATGTGAGGCAGTGTGTACCATACCACTCACAGAATGTGCAAAATTTCCGTGAATGTCGCGGAATTCCGGGTATTCCGCATAAGTCCGCCAGATTTCCGGAATTCCGCTTCCGGGAACTTCGCGAAAATCCCGGAGTATCGCTAATTACGCAGCGCCATAACTTCCCTTCGGAATGATTACATTCTGAATCCGAAAGCAGTCTTGTGTTTAGCTCATCAAGGCGAATCTTCTGATGTACATCATGTTCCCTAAATCCCGTTTCCGATTTTCTCAAATTCTACTGCAGAGCTCCTTTTGCAAGGGCGTAACGCAGCGCCTGTCCAACGTAAAATTACCACTAAGCATTTTCGATAGTGCTGTTCCTTTAAATTATATGCGCCAAAAGGTAGTGCAAACTTCTTTCCAAAAGACATAGATGCGTTGGTGAATCTGGAAAATTCACGCGTTTCCAGATACTCGCCGTAACTTCCTTTAGAGTACATATTTTTTGAATTAGAAAAAGCGTTGTGGTCAACTCATCAAGGCGAATCTTTCGATATACAGCACGTCCTTAATTTTCGATTTCAGTGTTCTTGATACTTTCTGCGAACATCTCTTCGCAAAGATGTAAAACAGCGTATATCGTTCCTAGTAGATTCCAGCAAAAATCATTCAATAGTACTTTTTGTGTAGATTATGGCGCGTCAAGAATTTGCCATACACTTCTTTTCAAAGGAGATAGAAATGCTGGTGAATTTTGGAAAAATCAGGTTGTTTTAAATTCTTCTTACAAGGGAAGGATGATTGGTCGAAGTGGCCATTTGGAATGAGCTGTATATCAGGAAACTGTCCTCGGTAAGGCAAACTCAAAACTGCTTTCGCTAGGTGCCGAGCGGTTTCGTGGGGGAGGTACAAGGACATTTTCCTCCGGCGCAGCCGGCGCACCCAGTGATGAGCGAGACGCTAGAACAACGTGTCAGTGTGGCGGTGGCGCAGTGGCAAGACAGCGAACTGCGAAGCAGATGGTCGAAAGTTTGAGTTCTGTTGCTGCTGTTTTGTCTTGCAGTTCTGAAAAAAGTCTATTAAGTGACAGTAAACGAAAATACTCATTTCTAGGCAGTTGAAACAAGCTATTTACTGCAAAAAAGTTACTATTTCTGCAATAAGCTATAATCTTCTACAATATGTAAACATGTGGAGGTTATGACGTCACAACAAGAGATTCAAATGATATATTAACATGTATGGAATACAACCACAAAATGCTCAAAGCAAAATGCGAAAAGCAGAAGAGGTTCTCGCAGCGCGCACATCGGATAAAATATAAACGATGACAATCAGCAGCTACAATTGCCTAACAAAGTCGGTGAAAAATAGTACTGAGTAGGATACTCGAATTCGCCGGGGTGGTTATCAATGTATCCGGCTGCATGCCATGGGTATGAAAAGAAATTTTTAAATCGCGGCGAGCAAGACTGTGTGTAAATGAGCGATATCTTAAGGATGGAATCCCTATGATGCAAGGTAAAGTTCAGATCGAGAGCCAATACATGGGATGTAAATCGATTGCAATTTTGCAAGTGCTCGCTGCGAGAAGCTCTTCTGTTTTGAGCATTTTGTGGTTGTATTCCATACATGTTAATATATCATTTGAATACCTTGTTGTGACATCACAACCCCCACGATTTACGTATTGTAGAAGATTATAGCTTATTATATAAATAGTGACTTTTTTGCAGTAAATAGCTTGTTTTAACTGCCTAGAAATGAGTATTTTTCGTTTACTGTTTCCCAACAAACTTTTTACAGAACTGCAAAACAAAGTAACAGCAACAGGACTCGAACCCTACCATCTGCTTTGTAGTCCGCTGTCTTGCCACTGCGCACCGCCACACTGGTCCGTTCTTAGCGGAACGGTGGTGGACTATATGTTGTCGAATTTGGAAGAGTCTCGCGCGGATTAACTGCAGGAATGCATGTCCGCGCATGTACAAGGGTGCGTATTTGTCGCAAATGACCGCGGGGACCGCCCTTTTTCGGCGACATATAGTCCTCTAACCCTTTTAGCGTCTCGCTCATCACTGGGTGCGCCGGCTGCGCCGGAGGAAAATGTCCTTGTAACTCCCCCTACGAAACCGCTCGGCACCTAGCGAAAGTAGTTTTGAGTTTGTCTTACCGAGGACCGTTTCCTAATATACAGCTCATTCCAAATGGCCACTTCGACCGATCATCCTTCCCTTGTTAGCATAACCCTAAAAATATGAAACTCTCTTGCTATGCGGATGTGCTTTTCGTAGCAAGGGATAACTTCTATGAACAAATTTTCCGAGATGTTCGGGTCATTTCATTGTCTCGTTTTACGCTCTGAAGCTTGCCGATGAAATTTGTTCGAAATGTTGATGATCTTGAATTATAAGTAAACTTCTCTTACAGAGGTTTTCGGACATGCTTTTTACGAGAATCGTGGTCTTTGAGAAATATAGGGCTTTTTGCAGAAATATTGTGAGGTAACTGTTACTGACAAGTGAGTCAGTAATTGTTACTTGTGAGTCATGAAAAGTTTGTAACTTTGCCTGCACTTTTCGCGTATCCTTCAAAGAACTTGCCTGTTTGATTTCGTATGTTGAAGTAGTAGGAATGTGCCATCGATAGGTGCATGTCCCAGGCTTCACCTCTAAAAACTTCTTCTGAGCCCTACATATACACCGTGTAGAGAACTGGCTAGCATAGATTCTGGATGTATGCTGCCTTTAAACTCTCAAAGTAGAGCTCTAACCTCTAATCAAGCGTGGAAAAACGGCCAACGAACATGTTCGCTAACGCTGCGCAAGCCCATGCAAGGCGGCCGCACAGGACCAGAGCGGCTAGTGCAACCGACACCGCAACCGAGATAGCCTGTACAGCCCTTCACCTCCATTCCTCTGCGTTTTCGATAGAGGATGCGAGTCTCAAATTCACTATGCCAGAACAACAGTATAGGTTGCAGCAAGTAAATACTCAATGCCTCTCATATATAATAGTATCTACGATAATTAGTATTCATCTCAATATTTGGATACGATAAGTGACTGACTTAGATACTACATAAAGCTCCATTATGTTTTCCAACTTGAAATACACAACTTTGTAGAGAGTTCGAAGGGCGCTTCAGTGTACTAGACCAAGAAGTTTCTTGTGGAAATTGTTGAATATGGGAGAGCGAGACAAGGTTAACTCTACATAAATTCTCCACTGATGTCAGTGATCGGATTTGACCTAGCTTCAGTAGTAGCTTCGGAAGCCATAAGGGAATAAAGGAATAAATACGAAAAAAGAAGTTCCGAAGTCAATAGGCCTTGCATCTAACGCAGTGAAGTTCGTTGAAGCTAACACTCGAATGAGAGACATAATTGTAGAAAGTCTGCTTTACGTCTTTTGGGATGTAAGACGGTTTACCTCTTGTTTATTTGATAATTCGAAACTCAAAAATTAAGCTCGATTTGTTGCGATGCTTAGAGGAATGTTTGATCATTTCGAAAGCAAAGGTGGTAAGTTTCCCATACTCCGAATGTCTCATTTGAAATGGCAAATGCAATGAGCGCGCGACCATGTCCTTGAAATTTACACGAATAGATAACGAAAGTAGCCAGCTGAACAACTGGGGTGGCGAACATCACGCGATTTCGCTATCGCTTTGTGTTGCGAAAACGCAGATTCGAATCAGTTTTGCTCGATAAATTTGGAAAGAAATTTTGCCACTAAAAGCTGCAACCTCACAAGATGTTCCTGTTCAGGTCGAACCGCTTTCACTGCCATCCGTCCATAACGATGTTGTTTGTCTTGGTTATGCTCTATTGTACGAGGATCGTAGTACGTTACAAGCATTGCTGGAGTATTACAGGTAAGCTAAGCAGTACCTTAAGAATAGATCGAATAAACAATAGCTAAATATTTGAAGTCAAATAGACAAATACTACAAAAATTCTGAATTTCGGACGAGAAGCAACGATGCAAATTAATATTACAACCGTTAAAAATTATGCTGACCCCACTCCTTCGCACTACAGTACGCACGCTGCGTCTAGGGACCTCATGTACGCGCAACAGTATACTGTAACCAATTGCGCGCCCATCTCTTTGCCAATAGAAATCTCTCTATAACATGAACTTGTTTGGGAGAAAATATTTGAAGTTGTGTCAAATTAACTTCAAAACAGTCAGAGAAGCGATTTGATGGTACTGTACGTCGGCAGCATGAGCGATGGAGTTTATCAAGAAACAGAATTGTACAAGAACAAGCTGGAGATCATACCATGGCCTCTCTTTCCACAAAAGTAAACCTTCAGTCCTTCTATGAAAGCTGGTCAACTTGTACCTCATTCTAGGTCGAAAGCATCGCCAGATAGCCTGCATTTGAATGCTCGATCGCACCGTGTATCGCAGGCGGCAGCATTCACAGATTGTTGGCTGCGATTCGCACCCATATCGCAGCGAGTCACGATGAGCGATTTGGCAGCGATTCAGTTTCCCGTAGCTCGCATCGAAAGGTCGAGGTAGGAAAATTCTGCAATTTTGAGGAAGTAATCAGATTCTGCTTACACCCAGATTATTAATTTGATCATATTTTTTGGGAGTTAGAAACCAGTGTTCAGAAAAAAAAAGTGAGCTACATGATATGAAAACTATCAGCATAAATATGTAGCTTTGTACTCTGCGCTAATCAACAGATTTTTTTAAAATAGTCGTAGGCTAATATAAGGACTTTTTGTAAAAAATCGGCAAGGTCTGTAAAACCCATAGTCGCTTACCGTACACATTCCAAAATTCGTTATAAAAAATGTTGTAAAATCGTTATCGTTTCACCTCTTCACCCATCAAAAAAGCTTCGAATTAGTCCCTCGTAGCTGAATACACGTTTCAAATACTTTTCTTTGCTTGGAGTATACTATTCTTTTTTACAGCCATAAAAAGCACATGTAAAAAGAAATGTTTCTGGACATCGTCACGATAACCTATGGCTCGTGATTTTTGCCAAAGATTCTTTCGTATTTCGACGCACACCGCACTGATAACCAAGCTGCGCAGCAGTTACACATTGCTAAGTAAACAAACCATCACAATCGGTTAGGCACCCGGCCTTCAGGGCGATCAAAGAATTTTTATGGTACGCAAGGCATGTGAAAATTTTCACAAGTTATACACAGAGGGTTAAAAAATGGCTGAGCAGTTCTAAACGGTGTTCAAGTCATTTTGAATAGAATTGCGAGAGTAGTAAATTGCGGCAGTCTGCTTTCTCTTAACGACCAGATAACTTCTTAATCAATAAAGGATAAAGGATTGAAGGATTCGACGTCTTCAATACCCTCTGCGGGTATGCGCCTAACGCACACACTAACTTCATAATCGAAGAGGCAGTTGTATGCGTGCGAGCCTATACAGTGAGTTGCGGGGGCCAGCCGTTACCAAGTCAGTGCTTTTATCCTCCCAGATTACCCTGGTACCAGTTTACCGGCCCCGGAGGGTAGCGAGCTTGGTTGGTCCAGGGGCGGGAATCGAACCTGTGTCCGATCAGGTTATAGCGGCGCCTCATACCACTACGCCACTCGTTCTCCGTTCTTAATCAATACCGTAGCGATGTCGCGAATTTTTTTTGAATTTGAGAATAATGCTCAGACATCCGATCATTAACGGTCGTCCCCATCAGACCACCAAGTGTAATTGCACTACTTTCTTGAATTTGCACTACAAGAGCAGTGTCATCTCACCATCAAACAATCTACCACAAGTTCCGCAAATTCAAGAAACATACTTCCTACTCCTTTGTGAAAGGTGCTGCGGAAGTTTCCGATAACGCTCTGACTTCTGCGAAAACGAACGAACTCTGCGAAACCACTGTAAATATTTTTTGTTCAAAAGTTTAGAACTTACATAAGATCAGAATATAAGACCATTTTCACATCCATCAATTGTAAATTTTCGCTTTCTTCTTTCTCCGACCACGACGCTGATTCTGCCGGCACTGATTTGCTGTTTTGCAGGTTTTATGAGTGGTGCAATTACACAAATTGGCCACTTAAATGGATATAGGTCGTTTTTAAATTCGTGACGACGAGTACTGCGGTTCTTGTGCACAAGGAGTATAAAACACCCATAGAAGCAAGCATCATTTTAACGCTCATCTCACAGTTATGTCAGTCATTTCCAATGGAATTCTCTCGTACGCAAGCTGAAAACCAATTTAGGAGAGATAGAAACAAAGAAAATGCGGCTGCTGGAGTGCGTGCTGACGCGCGCAGTCGTGCCATCGTCACGATTTTTCGAATGCCCTACATATACTTCTCTTCGCCTTTTTGTCGTCCTTTTTTGTCGTCTGTGCCTTCGTTAAAGATAATCTCTATTTTTTAACATATATTAGCAAAATTGGCTCCATGCCAGGTACGCGAGAAAAAAAATGAAAGTCCCCGTCGCAGTGCAATGCGATCAAGTTACGCGTGGCCGTGAAACACTTGCCGATGACGTCACTTCCGCGAGCCGTTCTGCAAATCGCAGTATTGTCGCACTTGCGCGCGCCACTCCTCCAAATTCAGCAGAAATGCGCGGCCAACCGTAATTTTGAGATTTTTCGGCAATTTTTCAAATTTAGCAATTCCATCTTCAAACATCTCTACCCGTCTTGGGCCATCGCACAACTTCTAACGCATCGAGTCGTGAAAAATAGATGTGAGTTGATTTATAAAGTTTTCTTCTCATTCTCAAATTTTCGTTTTTTTGGTTTGTTTATCGATTCAATATGCCAATAAGTGCTTTAGATTGAAATAAGTACTGCGGATTAAGGAAAGACAAAAAAAAATAACAAAAAGTGCTAGAGTACCCGTATCAGCCAGTGAAGTATTGTACAAAGAAATTTTTGAGACTCTTCAGCAGAATATTTATTCCATTAATTCTTAAGCAGATTTGAGCTTATCAGAAAAAATTATCTGTAAGCCCCAACACAATGAATGAGAGCAAATGCTCTGAGGCTTACATTGGCACGATACGTGAAGAAACGAAAGCACGGATAACATTTTTCATTCGACTTTGATTGATATTGAGGATTCGGCAATGAGTGATACAACATTACAGCAAATAAAAAGCTAAGCCGAATCTATAGTCTGTCAACAGAACGCTTGGGATTTCTTGATTACGAAGATTGCTGCAACCAAGAAAAAAATCGAAACTGTACTGTTTGTAAACATTATCGTTTGCTAACACACTGGCTCATTTTGAGAAGAAATTGTTGATTTTTTTGCACAATTTCAAATGCTACTCAAATGGATGAGCCCACATGAAAATTTTGTAATGTGCTTTGTTCTGCTTTCGTTCGACATATTGTGAAAAGACTCTTTACAGATTATCTTTGCACAGTGCAGTTATCAGAAGATTGCAGGGCTGTTTAAAGCCTCTTTTTGAAATAATCGATTGCAAAAATAGCAATTTATCAGTTTCATCTCGACATTTGAGGCTCTTCGACAGAGGTGAAAAAAAAATTCAGCACTGTTTATGATTTTTCAGATGAGGATATCACGATTGCTGAAAGATGCTACGCTCGCGAACATGTATTTGGATGGCGAACTGACTGCCAAAAAATGGGCGGAGGACCAAAAAATGTGAGTTATGTCCGTAATTTGTTGCAGATCACGAAAATGTCCTCCTTGCCCTCCCTCCCTCTCTTCCCCCCGTCCCCTCGCCCCCCCCCCCCTCTTGCAAAGATGTTGTGACAATGGCATCAAAGACAATTTACAATGAGCCATTAACATCGTGTTAATTGTTAGATAGGTACACTAAACATTCTGTTGCATATGTATCAGCTACATTGCAGTGCATTTTTTCAGTAATAATAATCTCCAGGGAACAGTTTCTGCCAGTGACACTCTCGATAACGGACAGCAAACCTCTCATAGGAATTTTTTCCTTACAATCACTGAGTGGAGCCGCTTAGATAAGAAGCTTTATCCTTTGTTTACATTGTCATAGCGTAATCTCTACATGAATAAGAACGTGCAGTTAATCTGTACTTTCGTGCCGAAGAGGAAAGTCAATTGTTTTGAAAATTTTCTGAGTTTTGACTGCAAAAAGAAACGGGACGTAGTAAAATGTCACTAGATAAGCAAAGTGACCATTAATAGTTTGGTTTTCCGCCAAATTTAGGTCTAAGACTCATAGCATAAAGAAGGTCAAATTGTGAACTCTCCTTCTTCATAAACACCTGTCAGACTATTCAATGTGTGGTACTGCTCCCTTTGACGAAAAAATTCACAAAAAAATATTAAGACTCGGAACATTAGGCGTGTGGACCTGGAATGCACGCATGTCAGCAATTGTTTCATTACAGTTCTTTTTTTTTTCATATCAGCTAATGATCAATCGAAGCCGATTTTTTGCGGTCGGTGTTGGTCGTTTATTTTTCTTTAGCATTATGAGTAGTATTGCAAGCAGAATCGAAGCAGCATCGTAATTTTGAAATCACCAGTTATTAATTATTTTGAAATCATTTTTGATGAAATTAGCAATTTCTTTACTCGAAACAAGAATTTATATATCCAAAAAAATCGTAGTTACCCTAGGATTCACAGAAAATTTATGAAACACTTTTACAATATTTGTGTCAAACAACAGCGCAAGAGAAAGCCCGTCGAAAAAGGGAAATGGATTGACTTTGACTAGCTCCAAGTGATCACTTGCAGTCCTCAACTATCGAACACATAATGCTGAAAAAGTCCAATCCTCATCCTATAGCTGGCGATGTCTACAAGGCGGATATCCAAAGGTTAGCGCTCACTCAGGATTTGCTTTGTATTCCTTCACTGGATTTTTAAGATGTGTTGCGCATAAGCCTTTACCAGAAGAAAAACGCACAGTGATGAAGTTGGAGTTCGATCTGGACAAAGTGAGACGAGAGCTGAATCCATGTGAGCTCTCACTTCGTCGAGATAATATGAAGTGCCGAGTGGCCGTCGATTACACAAATATGATGTTTCGACAACGTTTGAAGATCAGTGTTGTCAAGAAAAGGAGCTTGTTGTCGTTTTCACACGGTTGTCATTTGTAACTGTTAGATTATTGTTGGTGATATTGACAAAGTGACTATTTATCTATTTACTTACTTATCTACTTATTTGTGATATATGAAGGAATTTCCTGGAGCAATTCTAGAAAGCAATTCCAAACTTGATATTTTTTTCATTTCCTCAGTACAATCGCAATCTTGTCGCCATAATATATATCACTTCTATAATACATACTAGATAAATTATCAAAAATCATTACTTGACCGAGATTCACTTTCTTTATTTGCATAATTAGACCCTTAGGTTTTGGTTCCTGAGTGGTAGTTGTTGTTATAGTGATCCTTTGAATATTTGAATAAATATTGAAGCTATGAACATTTGGTTCTTTTCCTTCATGCTAAAAATGGAGATATACACCAAAATTCCGAAGAGAGCAAAAACATAATTATCATTTTTCTTCTACCCTCGCAAAATATGTAGCCATCTTAAGACGAAGATGGCTACATATTTCTTATTATTTATTTCTTTAAGAAGTTGCGGCTCGTATGACTGGAAGAATTTCTGTAGCACGTTCTATTGCAAAAATATTCCAGAAACTGGCACCAGGACCGACTTTTACCTTAGAAAAACGCAGCTCAATTTGGCCTCACGTCACTTACAGAGCATTAGTAGAGCGTCGCTATACATTTCACAGTTATACGTGCGCTCGAAGAGTGCGAAAGGGACCAGATCTAAGAAAGAAATTTTTTGCGCACACGAAAATCGTGGTTCGCAGAGGTTAGGTCAAATCTCAGGAACGTCTTCCTGACTCCTTTTGCTTCGAACTTATTAACTAACAAATGAGCAGTTAACCTTTGCTTAATATTAGTCTCAACTAGGTACCCGAAATATTGGTTGCTGAAATTTCCATTCACGGCGTCCTCTCTATGAAGGCCTCATGTGATCATACCATTTTTTTCATGTAAAAGTTAAAAAAATTTTCCGAGACGTCAGTGTCTCGAAAAGTAGCATAGTTTAATCATGTTTCTGTACTACGCATGAGGAGATCAAGATTTACCCAGATTGCTCAAACCTGATGGATATGCATTTATAGAAACCTTTGTGAGGGCGACTGTATGCACATGGTCCTTCCAGAGTCAGTTAAAAAACCTAAGAGTTCAACATCATAAAGTTGGTAGGAGTGAATAATGAGTCTACCACTATTATCGATTCCACGTGAGCTTGATTACAATAGATATCTGACAACGAAATGACAAGTACAATCCAAAATGTCACGTGGCAATAATTTATTGTATTTATGATAAATCCAAATGTGTTGGTAGCATTGAACAAAAATAAAAAGTTAAACGAAAATCTAACTCAAATAATATGCTCGAAATCTGAAAGCGGTGATCGTATTTTTCTCCTTAAAATTCGTGGAGAGCATGAGCTTTTCAATATTTCCTTTTTGGCCTTTATCTTCTGCAGGAAATTTCTAGAAGCAGCAAATTATATTGCAATGAGAGGTCACTTGCTGGAAATGTTTTTTTTTCTTCGTGCTGCTATCCATATCACGAGTTCTTAATCACTTAGCTTGCCGATAAGAATGTACAACACAAAAAGATAGATACAGGAGTGCAGATCTCAGATTTCTGAGTAATCGACTCCACGAACAGATGTGTTGCCAATGACTGACTGCCGGCTAAGGAAATGGGCGGAGCAGAGTCCACTAAGCCGCGAGACGGCCATCGCAGAGTTCTTCGCAACTTTGGCGATCGGGGCTTGGCAAGGCCGAGCGTTGACGTGAATCGATGCTTTGATCTTTGACCGGGGACCCGAGCATGGTTTCGGGGGCTAGGTTTCTCTCGAAAAAGTCGTGATGAGTAGAGGTCTCTCATCCTCGCGGGGCGGGGTTTCAGTGCCACCACCCGCTCTCCGGCAGTCGGCCGCTGCCACGTGCCAAGGGCGATTCCACTTCATTCGCACTACCGGACCTGGAGATGCTCGTCTTCGGGAGCCCAGCCTGGCTGATTCCTTCGCGCTCAGGAAGATCGCCTGGTATTCGCTCAGTTCGTGTAGGGCTCGGACGGCAGCGGATTGGTGCCCGCCTGCCCTAAAAGTCTGCGAATTTTGATCTTTACTGATCGTTCGCCTTTCAGTGGCACCCACACCGCATCTGGCGACTGTGGCGTGATTACGCTGGACTTGCAAATCTTGTTACGCGTGGCTACCATCCCAGCCACATAATTTTTGATTACTGTCTCTGTCCATCCACATAACACCGTGCTACTGTTGTTATCAAATTTCTCGTCACCCTCCCGATCACCCCTGATCTTTTCGCATTTTGTGGGCGTCCCTCTATTGTCTCTCTATCGGCCCAGAACGTGTTATCTATACAAAATGCGACACTTTTATAGGAGATGTTGAGTACTTTGGCTCGTACTTCGGGTCGTCTCATTGGCAGACGTGCCTTGTCTTCGACCATCATGGACGCTCACGCTCAAGTCATCGATGAACAGAAGCCCATGGATGAACAGAGTAATCCATCTTTCTTCAAGGTACACGAAATCTGTTTCATAATGAAAATAGCCGAGATGGGAGGATGAACGTTTTCCAGATGGTTGATTACTATTTCGACAAGGGAGCGGCTGTAATTGAGCCGAAATTGGTGGAGGAGCTCAAGTCGAACTCGATGAGCACCGTCGACAAGAAGAATCTCGTCAGTGGAATCTTGAGATCTATCAAGCCTGTCAACAAGGTGAATAAATAAAGATTAAGCGATCGTTTCTTCTTGCCGAACAGTTGTTGTCTGCCCGGTGTCATGGCAAAAAAATTCTACTCATAGGTCCTGTACATAACTTTCCCTATTCGTCGTGACAATGGTGAATTCGAAGTGATCGAAGCATGGCGAGCACAGCACTCTGAGCACCGAACCCCCACCAAGGGAGGTATTCGATACTCATTGGACGTCTGCGAAGATGAGGTTCGTTTGAAGGTTCTTGGCCGGGGAATCCAACTTTTATGGTTCGGTTTAGGTGAAAGCCCTGTCAGCATTGATGACCTACAAATGCGCCGTTGTCGATGTGCCATTCGGAGGTGCCAAGGGTGGTGTGAAGATTGATCCTAAGGCCTACACTGACTACGAGATTGAGAAGATCACCCGACGAATCGCCATCGAATTCGCCAAGAAGGTAAACCTTATTTCCTAATCCAAGGGGTTTTGCATTGATCATTTTCGCCAGGAAGATCTATGTCGAAAAATAAGAGGACCTAGTCTATTCTCATAGTAAAAAAATTCGCAGGCACTACTTTATTATGCTGTAAAGATCCAAAAGAGAGATTGACGGCCATAAAAATACCGGTTTTTTCTCAATGTTTGCGGTGCCTTAGAATGCAAGATAAGCGAGAACTAATAATGATAAGTACTGTTCGTGGCATCCCCTTCTGCACGAATTGCAAAATTATATCACGTTGACATAAAATGCAGCAATGATGATAGAATTAGGGATTGCATAAACTCTTAACAAAGAGGGTAACGTTGAAGGACAAAGGTTTTGGGATTTCGCCATGATTCGGTAGGATTGTTGACGAAGAAAGTCTTTAGTGAGAGCAATGACGAACTTGACAGCTCATACAGCGGCTATAAATTATGTCTACATTTAGAGTACATCATGACTTTGGTAACGATTGTAAACAAAAGTGTAGACTAAACCGATCGCGATCAACAGAGTGATGTTGAAAAATCGTTCATTTTTGATGGTTTGAACTCAATTCAGCAACTCTAGCTGGCAATGCACTCCTATTTATTCCGAAAGTAGATCCATAACGGAGTGGTATCTATATTTCCAAAACCAGATAATTTTTGGCGAAAAATCAAACGCGCAAATCAAAGCCGTTTAGAAATAATTGAATATTTATAGCTTAATACCATTCTCATCCTAGAGGCTTCATAGATTGTTTCCAGCTATTAAATTCTGACGAAATCGTCATGCTTGCTGGAATGTTTTATGCTCATTGAATGGTTAATGACCTTCACTAATTAGAAAAAAATTGACTTCTGATTTTCGCTGATAAGCAAACAAAGCCGATTTCTTATCGAAATCAGCGGCCTCTGTGCAATAAAGCCACGTTTCAACCACGAATCAGTTTCTACAGTCCTGGGCAGAACTGATGGTTCAAAAAAATGTGATTTTGGTAGATATAAGGTATACTTACTAGGAAAGACTTGTAGGTGTTCAATTAAAAACAAATTTGACGGGATACTGCAGTATTGAGATAGGTTGATTTTTGGTTTACTACCGGCGAATTTTAACTGGTCTATCCATTGCAAACCTAAAATGGAGCGAATAAATCCATTTTACTGCATGGACTTTAGCGAGTACAACTCCCGGACCGTTCACGAGAGTGTCCATGAAATGCAAAGTGCAAGTGCCAAATATAAGCATGAAAGATTCCACCGGTGATAGCTCAAAGGGGCAACGGTCCGTTCAACAAGATTTGTCTTAAAAATCTCTGACTTGCTTCTTAGTGAGCCAGAAGTTTAGAAATCTAGATGCTTCTTTAATATGGAAAGCATTGCTTCTGCGTGCCTTTTTGCTCTTTTAAAGATCTGAGTATTTAAACAAAGGGTTTAGATCATCTCCACCAGTTTCAAGTAGTTTACTAAATCAACTCGCCACTCTTGGGTCCTTCCAAGGTGAATTTTTTTCCCATTGATGGAAATGTGGCTTTCGCATAGTATTCGTTTCTATTCGTTTATACTGTCTAGTCTGGCATGTATTTTAGTTTAGTCTAGCGGCAACATAGGAAAACAAATGGGAGCAAACGTGTAATAGGTGAAGCGAACCTACAAGAATCGTGAGCTTCTGCTCACAAAAAATGGCACTGTCTCAGGAAAAACCGTCAGGGAAGCAGAACTTGACTGAAAATTTTGGCTATTCACAATCAGACTATGAAGGCCTATGATTATGAACAAGTGTTTGAGGGCGAGTTTCAATCGTACACCAAATAATCAACTATTATTTACACGCACTGTAACATTGAATTTCTTGAATTGGCTGCAATTTTTGAGCGGTCTTTTAAGAAACTAGTCAACCCCGAAGAACAAGATCGATGTTGCAAAAGTCGCAGAAGTACTTCTGCAGAAGTGCACGAAATCCTTTTAGTAATGAGTCACAGAACGTGCGCTATTGGTGTTTGCCTTTTTTTTTCTACAAGCGGTGGCATACTGTAGCCAGTGCTGCGTGTAAAGAACAACAAAAAATTAACCAGCGCATAAATCAAATGTATAGGATACATTATGTGTGTTAGAAATATCTCGCGTGGATCTTGGGAAATTGCGTGATTTGTAGCGAAGTGCAAATCGTTGAACTTAGGAGCAGAATGCTAGAGGGAAGATTTGGTCGTAATCACAGAATCTGCTGTAAAATCTAACGCTAAGCCTTTATGGCGAGCGTGGGAATTTATGGCTGATATGTCCCTATAATTATCAAAATCTTTGGGAGTTCAAACCCATAAAATTACATCAATCGATAGAATGATACATTCTTGCTAAGACTTATGTATTTGTTTGATCATAAATATTTGCAAGACTGTAACTTCATTTCTTATGCAGAAAAAAAGAAAGCGTCGCAAATTTTCCCACTAATTACCTCCCCTTATCCACCTTTACATCATGGAATTGCAAATGAAGCTTGTTGGAAAATGGGCCTGCAAGACTATATGACCTAAACCATAGAGCTACACAAGTTGTTGAGTTTGACAATTTTTCTGAATGGATTTTAGCAAAATTTCATATTGTTTACATGGTCTCAAGGAACAAACGGAATAAATTGCAGGGATAACAAATTCGGTTGAAGAACCCATTAGCAAAAAGTAGTTTGAGAGTCTTATTTCAAGTTTTGTGTCGCATATAACGTTCTCAAAAATTTCAAAAATTTGAAGCGGTCAAACTGTGGTAAAAATAGGATAAGCCAAACATGTGACACGGATAGTGGCTTACCCAGGGGGGGGGGGGGGGAAACTTTTCCGAATAAAGCTGCACTGCTTTAGCCGCGCACCTTAGGATGCTTCCGAAAATCTTTGTTTGCGACTCCCCCCCCCCCCCTCCTCTAATACGCCACTGCCGTGAGGATCTTATGGTAAGGTGCGATATCTTCGGTTTCAATCCTATCCATGCACTCTAGATATCTTGATTTGCAAATAGATAATAGAAGATATCTTGTTGGGCTTCAAAACCCTATTTTACAGTGATCTTTTTGAGCCATTTTTTACAAACTTCATTTGCAATTCTATGAGCTGCAGGGTGGTCGCAAGGGTGGCAATTATAGTGAAAATATATGCATTCTCTTTCTGCATAAAGAACAGTGCAATAATCGTGCAAACAATATTGCTCTATAATCTTCCACTGATTATCAAGAGTAGAAAATGAAGGCATAAAATTTCGAGACTTCAGACCGATTCATTAAATAAGAGTTTTACGAATTTCACATTAGCAAAAAGTACGCGCTGAGGTCATGGACTTCAACTATGGTCCCTTCACACGCAAAATGACAAGATTTTTTCCATTCACAATTTCAGGGATTCCTTGGACCCGGAGTCGATGTGCCAGCTCCTGACATGGGAACTGGAGAACGTGAAATGGGCTGGATTGCTGACACCTACTCACAAACAGTCGGACACTTGGACAGAGATGCCGCCGCATGTATCACCGGAAAGCCGATCGTTGCCGGAGGTATTCATGGACGAGTTTCTGCCACCGGCCGTGGAGTCTGGAAGGGACTTGAGGTGTTCATGAAGGAGAAAGAATACATGGACGCGGTAAGCACATTTCCGAAATCCTTTGCTGCCTCTTCGAGTAGAATTTTACTACTTTGGCTTACAGGTCGGACTCACAACTGGTATTGCCGGAAAGAAGATCATCATCCAAGGCTTCGGTAATGTCGGCTTGCATACAATGCGATACTTGCACAGGTAGTGAAAATATGAACTCATTTGGGGAGTCAAAGAATGTAGGAAGGGGGGGGGGAAGAGTGAGTAGTTTTAAAGAAAAAAGATGATCTCAAGGATGAGTTTTGACTACACAGTCTTTACCAAAAAAAACCCGTCAGAGTTTGAGGATGTCCGGAGCAATTGATAAGAGCAATTTAGTGTGGAAAAATAACTACAAAAAAATAGGAGGAGATGCACTCGCCAATTATCCAAGAAAAAAATCCCTGGCCGGAACCTCCCTAATGAAACAGCCGTCACGAACAAACTTTCCGATTATTTAAGAGTTTTCTTTTTTTAGAGCCGGTGGCATTGTGATTGGAGTACAAGAATGGGATTGCGCTATTCAAAACCCTGCTGGAATTGACCCCAAAGAGCTTGAGGACTGGAGAAATGAGCACGGAACAATCAAGGTGATTATTTCAGGACCTTTTCCAGATCTCTACCATAATAAACTCGTTTTAGAACTTCCCCGGCGCCAAGAACTTCGAACCCTTCACCGATCTCATGTACGAGAAATGCGATATTCTCGTCCCTGCTGCTTGTGAAAAGTCCATTACTAAGGATAATGCTAACAGAATCCAAGCCAAGGTAGAAGCGGCAATAATTTGAAGAAGTTTCAAGAATTGTTATCGAATTCTAGGTTATTGCCGAGGCTGCTAACGGACCAACTACTCCTGCCGCTGACAAGATCCTTCTTGAGAAGGGTAACATACTTATCATTCCTGACATGTGAGTTTGCATCAACATTTGCCAAAAAACTATGCAGAAATATTTTCATCAGTGAGAAGGCTTAAATATTTTTGGGTGGTCGCATGAAAATTACCAACAAAATTTGAAGACTGAATCGGGATGGCTGGAACATTATTAGAGCACAGCAATTTATACACACCGTTTTAACTTCATCAAAAACACAAGAACATAAAAAATCAGGGCATCAAATAATCACCTTGAAGTTTATAACCAAATTTTAGGTTTATTAACTCCGGTGGTGTGACTGTCTCATACTTCGAATGGCTAAAGAACTTGAACCACGTCTCATATGGTCGACTCAGCTTCAAATACGAGGAGGACTCTAACAGGATGCTTCTTCGTAAGTGGACTGAAACTGAAGGCCTTCTTCCATTCTAATAGTGTGATGTTTCAGAATCGGTACAAGACTCTTTGGAAAAGGCAATCGGCCATGAAGCTCCAGTGACACCCAACAAGGCATTCGAAGCTAAGATTGCTGGTGCTAGCGAGAAGGTATGTTCGATATTTCTCAAAAGCACCATCCACGCAGCAGATGATGATATGATGCTAAATGACAGCGGAGCCATGAAATGCGGTCAAATCCCGCTGAAGATGAACTCGGAAGTGAGAAAATCGCTTCAGAAAGTGGCTGCGGTGAAGGTGGCTCCGCCCCTCAACGTGGGTGGTCTGAAGATAATAATGAGTTGGAAAGTCGACTTCGATGCATCTAAAATAGTCGTAAATCCGCCCCTCATTATTATTATTATCAGATTTTACGTTGCTATCTACTCTGCAGCCCATTTTCAAATTCATGATCTTCAGACGGCCAACGTTAGGGAGCGGAGCATCCTTGACCGGTTTCATTTTCTAAAGCAATTTTCTCGCTTCGGAATTCATTTTTTACAGCGGGACTTGGGCGATTCCTTATTTCGGGGCCTCGCCATTATACAGCATCTCTCTTCATAATCAGTTTGAACGGACAATGCCTTTGAAAGAAACACCCACCGAACAATCGTAAAAATTGATGTGCTCCTCATCCTAATCGTTTCAGGACATCGTTCACTCCGGTCTCGAGTACAGCATGACTCGCGCTGGTGAAGCCATCATCAAAACAGCCCACAAATACAACTTGGGCTTGGACATCCGCACAGCCGCCTATGCAAACTCCATCGAAAAAGTCTACAACACCTACCGAACCCTCGGATTCACATTCACGTAATTCGTTACTGTGATATTTGCATGTAGTGCCCACGTGTTCTCCGCTCGCCTTAACACACATGTGGCCTTTCACGCTAGATTTTTATATTTCACTATATATGTTAGGGATTGTTGTCACGTGTTGCCTTTCACTGTAGTGGGTTGTTCTTGATGTTGCACAGCCGTTTTTATACGAGAGAGAAGAAAATACAGATAATTTATTATTTTATGACATTGCGTCGCAACAACCCAAATCAGCAAGGTATAAGAGCGATAACAACATTTTTAGGACATAATTTGTCACAAACTGAGCTTGTATCCCATAAAACTAACTGCGTCACGCACCCACTCGGGCACGGAGCTGCTCTGGTAGTAGTCGCCAAGGAACTGATCAAGAAACTTCTGCACCTGTCCGGAGTCGATTGCGTCTCGAACGTCCTCCATCAGTCGTAATTGGTGTCTTATATTATGAATAGAGAGTAGATGGCACCCAATAGTTTCCTAGAATGCTTGCTTTTAGATAGCTTAGCTCATTTAGTCTCTGCTTCATTAACTGTTGCGGTAGGAAAAGTTCTCAAGCTGGAAACACATTTTATTTAGATATTGGCAGAACAGATTTTTGCAAGATGTTATAAGAGAAACTGGAAATTGGAAACACATTTTTAGATATTAGTAGAACCGATTTTTGCAAGATGTTATTAGAGAAACCAAAAAAACTGAGGCCTTTAAAGTCGTCTGCAACGCTGAGTAGTAAAACTCAACATGGATAAAATATAAAGAGCTGAAGATCATTTCACTTTCCTCAGCATGAAGAACAAAAACGGGATTTCTGTGAGAGCTACAACGAAGTGCAAAGGTTTTCTGCCAAAACGCCTAAATGGCTTCTGTAGCTTTAGAGCAATTCATGTTCAGAATTCATGTTAGATAGGTTATAGCTTTGCTTATCCAGCTCATCAGCACGGATCGCAAAATTCGTTTCAGGCTTGCCTGAGTGTGGATTCCAAGAGATATGAATTCAAACATTAGGATAACTACTGAAGCAGAAATAAAGTTAATAATTCCTGGAGTTGCAAATTAGTCATTTTTGTAATACAGGTCCGCTAATGGAGACAACGTTTGGAGCGTCGTTTTTCTCCACTCATGAACAATATTATCTCTTTCTAGAGGTTCATAGCTACGCGCATGGTATTTACGATTCAGCTACAGTCCGAATTTATAGAAAGAGTTTTTCGGTAACCTGTTCTTCGATCGGGAAAATCACAAGTAGCTCTGAGCACTTTGAATAAAAAGTTGGTGATGCCGAAATTTGATGGGGAAAAATTCATTACCTTATTCATAACCATGTGCACATAAGCTCTCGTATAAGTTTGACAAGTGTGGCAATCACAATCGCTCTCGATTGGTGCAAAATCATCAGCAAATTGTTTTTGATTGAGATGTAACAATCCGCCACGGCGAACCATCGCAGTACCAAACCTGAATGGATCAAGATCAGCGAACAGTGAAAGAAAACACAAGCTTTCAGCCATCTTCAACGCATTCACGACAATACGACCCCCCCCCCCCGATGGGTCGTGCGTGTCCTGCCGTTTCGAACATCACGAACCACAAGTGGATCGTATGCTTTCTGGGGTTTTTCCTTTTGATAGTTTATGATGGTAGTTTTTTAGCGAATTGTGTAGACTTCTGTATATATCCCTTAGAATATTCCCCAAAAGTCATACTTCAGATCACAGGACCCATAAGTGACAAGAAAACATTAAGCAAACTCAATATTGCGAAATATGCTTTGGTCATCAAAAAATTGGGCTTGTCTGAATGTGTAAATAACTTCAATGAATAGTGTAGAGCCCCTGCAACAGCAACGTTATAGCAATTAAACCCAAAAAGTTTCGCCACCGTACGAGGAAATGGACTAACGCCTCCGAAACGCTGACGTCAAACTCTCCTCCCATATCTCAAGGCCCTTCCTTCGCAAGATCTCATCAGAAGCGTTTGAAATTATGGTTTGGCAAAAATTCGATAATATGCTGTCTCCAGAAAGCTGCTCAAATCGCTCGGAGAATATCCATGGAAATGCTCCCTACTCAGTCAGAACCCTCGGTAACCCTTCAAGTCATTCAAACTCATAATTGACATTTCCACTGAAACGGCGATAGGTAAGCATTTATAGACACTTGTACTTCTTCCAATCGTAGAAAAAAATTGGAAAGGTGGTTGCAATAAGTATCCTGTCTTGCATATTTCTACTCTTTCCTTGTAAGTGATCCTCAAGGGCAAAACCAAATTATATATCCGAGCTTTGCCACCGGAAAATTGTAGCCAAATAATGAGCGAGAACTAGCGAGGGAAACCAAGAAAATCCTCGGAAAAGTCTCCGTACGAACTGTAGAAGTCGCAGCCGCATACCATATGCTGCCCATCTGATAGATTACATACTCCAGGGAAATTAGCTGAGGTTCATTATCAACGCTTTCGTCGCTTGGGAGTGACTCCTGAGGCAATTACCTTAAGAAGGTCAAAAATTCACTGGATACCTTGTGCGAATTTCTTCAAGACTCATATAGTGGGTACACAACTTGCCAACAAACCCCACACTGCATAAATCTGTAGAAGGCTCTAAAAGCTGACTGCAATTTCTTTTTAATCAAGACCGGATAACCTAGCACCGCTCCCTACTGAGATTTATGACTATAATCTAGTCACATCGACCTGTCTACTCTGGTAAGCAACTCTGGTACCAATTCCAGATAAAAAAATGTTTACGAACCGAAATAATCACGTACCTAGCTGTTCTGGTCGGATATACACAGTCGAACATATCAGCGCCCAGAAGAGAACAAATTACGAGATCCACAGGAAAGCCAACACCCATAACGTAGCGAGGAAGATGAGGTGGGAGAGCGTCGCAGCAAGTTGCCACTACTTTCCAAAACTGCGACTTTTCTTCTCCTCCAGATAAGCCGCCAATTGCGATGCCAACCTAGAACAATCGCGAAAACTCAAAAAAAAAAGGTTCTAAGCATGATGAGCATCAAACCATTCATTATTTCGTTCGCATCGGTAAGAATTAAAATTCCACTTGAAAGAAAACCTATGCCAACGCTTACAAATTTCGACTAGTCCCACAGAGCAAATTTTCCGCAGTCGAAAATGCTTTGAAAAAAAGTCATGTAACGTAGAGAACGCCGCTCGATTAAGAGGGGCGTACCCCTCATCACCCTTATTACGGCTGAGTGCAAATCCATGAGAATCTGCCCACCTTCAAGAGGCGTATACGCAATGCCAATCCTAAAAAGCAGATTTGCGTGGCAAAAACATTTTACACAGATACTGCTACCTGCACGAAATATTAGGTTACCCCCATAAGTCCCTTTCAGTGGCGTACCGAGGGGGGGGGGAAGAATGGGTCGCGAAATTTTAGAAGTTACTTAAATGTTTATAAAAATGTGCAGAGGACTTGTTTTTACTGGTAAACAATTAAAATAATTTTTAAAAATTTTTAAAAATTCAAAGTAGAGTTATAAAAAAAATTTTCGGGGGCGTGGCTGCCGCCACGCAACTTCATTAAAAAAATTTCTTTGTCGCCCCCACCCGAGCCGAAATCCTGGGTACGCCACTGGTCCCTTCATTTTTGAGTTTTCGCTATAATAAGTCGCACACTTCTCATTCTAAACAGACATCGGATACCATACAATAGAGCAAAGCAAGCTCTATAAGATGGCTTATGCTTTGGCACCAGCTTCAGTGGGAGGGCAAGGGTTAGGCGACAAAATGTGCAAAACGCAAGCAACATAAATCCCGTAACTCAAAACTATGCATCCTTTTTTCAACGGCGTCGGGTAATGTATCGCCCCCCCCCCTGTTTTTGGCGCCAAAGACGTTTTGCACGGGGAGTTCTTTGGGGTCCAAAAAATTGAGTTTGTCGCCTAACGCCCTACAACCGCTTCGGTGCACCTCAAATTTTAAACCAAAATCTAAAAAGTTTCGGATGGCCAGAAAACTGAGAATTTTTTATATCTTTGTTCAAAAAGTTCCTCTAGAGTTGCTCAGAAGTACTAATGTAGATTCTTGGCTCTCTATAAGCTTTGGTTCACGAGAAATATCGAATTGAGCTTTCCTCACTCGGGTTTTTCACGCTTAACTCAAGATTTATCGGAAACCAAAGCTTATAGAGAGGTAAAAATTTACGGTTGTACTTCCAAGAGCTCGTAGCAACTGTCAGTGTAAGGATATCACAGCATCACTTTGGTGTAAGAACATGGAAATCTTCGGTTTCTTGATTTACAGCTGATAAAAAAATACAGCAACAGCATATATGTATGCCTGCTGTGGGATGTATCTATATGCGTGAGTTCTGAGAATTCTGTAAGTTTTTTGAACGAAGATATAAATAATTTTCAGTTTTCTCGCAATCCGAAACTTTTTAGATTCTGGTTTAAAACTTGAGGTGGACCGAAGCTTGTGGCAAAGCACAAACTTATGCATTCGACAATTTCAGACTCTGAAGAAGGCGATACCGCCGAAACGTTAATCGAATAAAGGATATACCAATCCCGGCGTCCAGCTAAACAAGCCATAACAAGCATCTGCAACATGCCGAGATTAATCGAGAGTCGAACTTGGTCAATCCTGATGTCTGTTTAGAATAAGAAGTGTCTGTTTTATTACAGCGACAACTCAGAAATAAAAAGACTTATGAGACGACATAATAGCATACTAGCGTAAGAAATTCTGTTATCGTAGGCGCTGCCCGCCCTTCCCACCAGCTCGTGTGGTCTCGATCCACTTTCAACCAAAAATCTGGTGTGCTTCACTTATGTAAAGGTCCATTTTTCTACCATCTATATCAAGTTCAGCTAAGCTGGAAAGTATTCCATGAAATCTCCGCACTTTCGATCAGTTTCCCATAATGAACTTCCCATCGATAGTACAAGACCTAATTCGGAAGAGATATGGAATGGAAACGTTTGACCCAAACTGCACTTATAGTACGTTCATTGCCCTATCCGCTTTTTTACGATCTTTCCAGAGCACCTACCACTGATAGTCGACTGATATGACATTCCTCTCCTCTCACAGCTACCACATACGGTATTTACGGTATCTCAATCCTTTCTTGGTTTAACTGCAGACGTCATGGCACGACAACTTCATGACATAAAGTCTCTTACTAGCACATCTTCTGAGCCACATAATATGCATGCCCTCTCTCCACACCTACAGAGTTTGTACGAGTTTCACATACAAAGGAAGGCATGTTTATGTTTTGCCTTTAGGGCGATATTCTTTGACCATAAGCGCGTATGTGAATAATGTGCTGTCATTTGACGTCTGGAGCATGGCATACTCTCCTCATCGCAGAACTTCTTTTCTTCCAACGCCTCGTTCGAGTTGTTGATTACAGCATCGCAGTCGGAAGAGGCTTCTCTCCTCCGGAGAGTCGCTCAAACCAAGTGCTGCGCTCTTTAAGTGATGAAAAGACTGGTGGGCTAAGTTACGTTCGCCTGCAGTGAAACTCCTTATTTTGCCACCATGCTTCATTTTCTTGGTATTCATTCTCATAATGCATCTCGGGTTCTTTCCGAAGTGCAGCTTCTCTTTGAATTATCGCTCTTACGACCATAACTCGGCTTTCCGTAGCGAATGGCCGTATGCGACGAACACGACCGAAACACACAATGAACTATGTCGCTTAATATGTTCCAATCCTTAGACTGACATCGCTTGAACGAATTGTGCTGTTTGCTTATAGGTGTAGCATATAGAGATTTTCCAACCGCCGTATGGTGTTCTCCAACTGCTACGAGCTTGGACACCACACCATAAATATAACGACATCTTGCTGTAAGTCTTCATAATCGGGAAACCGTTCTGTTCTGTAGTTAACTTTTTTCTCCACCTCACATATACAGTTTCAAAAAATTTCAAGCAATCTTCAAGATATTACTCTCGCAAAGAACAAAATATCACCGACTGTTTGCGGCATAGCCGCTTGGATTCGAGTAATCTTTCTTGACTTCCACCACTTCATGAGTTGTGCTTAAAACTGTCGCCTTACAATAACAAACAAGCTCGGAGAGAAGCTGGCTAGAGGGCTGAGTAACAGATACCTTTTTATATTGAAAAAACTTATATAGAGGTGGAGTCCAAAATCAACATTTTGCACTGTTAAAAAAAACGTGATCTTAAAAAGGAAGCGGAGAAGGGGATGAAGAGAGTCCATATGCAGTTGACTGAAAAGACTTTCAAGATTAACCAACTTTCCGTTGCACCCATAACCCATACTTAAGCTGCTATGCTTATGCTTTGTCTATAGAAATACTTAATACGATGGCGTAAACCAGTTCATAATATTTTGAGATTCCTGTATACTGTAGATATCGCTCGATTGTGTACTTCAACGACAATTTAGTTGCTGAATATGCATCTGCAGTCCTTGCTTTGAATTTTTGGAAAATGAAAACCTCATTTCAAACCTTTGCTCGCTTTGCCATCTCTTCAACGCATCTCTTTCGCAGCTCGAGGTCCAAACCACCTTGCACAATCGGGAAGAGTGCTTGATCCGAACGCGTATGGGCCTTCTCGCAGCGGTCTAGCCATCTCAAATATCATGAACATGCCGAAAATAGGCTAAAGACCATATTGGAACGATGACATATCCGTTCTTCAGGTATCTCACCTTATGCTTCTCTCCATAGCTTCTTCAACGATGTCTCCTGTGGTGAGCACATGGATTACATGATCCAATTGCATCATGATATCAGCGCCTAATGCCTAGATAAGGAGGCATTTCAAAACCAGGGACAATGTAAGTAAACAATTTTTGTACCTGTTGTATCTCAATGCTCATTTCTGGCGGTAAAGACATCTGCTCAGCAGTATGAGGACTTTCGAAATTGACTCCATGCTCGTCAACTGACATCAGTTTGTTCAACGATACCATCTGCATGAAAAATTTGGTATATTCTATGGTTGGATGATTACACATTACAGTGTTCACTGCAAATACTGCACGCTTCTCTATGCCATTTTTATAAAGCGGTGTTGACCGATGTCCATCAAATAATTAATGTGGAACGTTTCATTCGACACAAGTTTTGCTACAAACGGGCAACAAAATTCTTTTCCAAAGGAAAAGACTGGCGTCAGCCATGCCTTTCCAAAAAATTCAAATTTTTGGAATCTTATATATAAAGCTGAATGTCTGTTTGTCTGTCTGTCTGTCTGTCTGTATGTCTGTATGTCTGTCTGTACGTATGTTCCGAATAGAAAATTCAATTTCTGAACCGATCCGGACCAAACTTGGCACACATATAGGCTGTATCAGCCAGCATCGGTCCCGCGTCAATATGTCTTGCGACGTGCCTTAGCGCAGTTGCCCGCGACGTCGCATGACCGATGCTGGTACACCCTATACACACCGGGCCCCGGCGGGTGTCATAGGCCACTTTTCGTCATCGATCGATATCGATTTTATCGATTTTTGCAAAATTTGAGCTACGGGGCTGGGAGTTGGCACAGGGGTGTAATCGAGCATGCTGATTACGAATATAATAATGACAGGGCCGGGCGGAGCCGAGTAAGTCAACTAGTGTTTTCCATATTTTTGCGAGCCAATGTGGCAGCAGCGACGCCCACAAGAAAACTTTGACACTGATTCAAATTCTTATAGTTTTGAAAATCATTCTGATTTACGGGAGAAAAAATGTTACTTGCGCATTTGTAATCCAGATAGGTCAAAAAATTCGAGGGGCAAGTGTGCATCAAGCAATTATCTAGCAAAAAATGAGTTCATTATTTACATTGAAACGAGATGCTGAATACTCAAGTCAGAAAAATAAAATAATTTTCTCTTATCCATTCTTCCCTGCAGCACATCTTAAGCAATAACAAATGAACGGTTCGGAGTGATAACTTTATACACCATCGAAATTTGAGCAAATTACAATCAAGTTGTCCCAAAAGTAAACTCCATTTCCAAATAAATTAAGCTGTTCTTGTTTTCCTGACAGAATTAGGGTACCATTCGATAGAGCGGAACAGGCTCTACAAAAGACCACCAAGGATCTACTTAAGTTGTAATCTAGGCAAAATTTGGAGCCAAAAATCAAAATTTTTCAGCTACCCTAAAAATCGGATTCCCTTCCAGAAAATTTTAAGGACTTACAACTTGGTCTTTATATAGTAGACACATAGTAGTACCCAAAAATGTATTTGGCGGATTTTTCTTGGGGCTCAAAATTGAGAGAAAAAAGATGGTCTTAGAATGCCAAAATTCCCCTTTTTTCGGGTTTTTTAAATGTAAAACTTGGTATTTCGCGATTATAAGAACACATACAGGGGTAAGGTTTTAAAACTGTACTCAGTAAGGCTTGTAGTATACAATGACATATGTGGGAGGGGCTGGGGGCGGAGTTTGCCGTTTTTGAACAAATTTTTTTCTCTCTATGCTCGCAAAAAATTCTGCAAAAGCATATTTGAGTACTGATATGTGCCTACTGTATAATGACCAAGTTGAAGGTCCGTTGAGTTTTTCTTCGCGAAAATCCAATCTTCAGGTGACAAAATTTTGTTCGCTTTTGGCTTCAAACTTTACATGGAATGCGACTTAGGCGGACCTTTGGTGGTCTTTTTGTAGAGCTTTCTGCTCTATCAGATGATACCCCAAATCTACAAGTAAAAAACAGCTTGAATTATTGAAAAAAGGAGTTCACTTTTGGGACAACCTAATATTTCCCATTTCTTATGCTATAGAACGTATTTTACCTCACCTCTTTGCCTACAAGCAGCGCAATGTATTTTGCTTGGCTGCCACTCAAAGTTTGGCTAGCGCAAAGGCACGCATCGCTTTGGTTCTTGGACACATCTCCGCAGTACAAGTCCTATCTCCACGAGCACTGCTCTCAGGCCTAAGGCATGCGATCTGAAGAAATCGCGACCTCCACGAGACTTGGCGTTCCGCCAGCTTTCCACAAATTCGTCATGGACGGTATTCAAAAGCATAGGTACGTAGTTTTGTAAGTCCTTGCAAACGGATCAAGTCCTCTCTAAACAAAGGGCGACCAACTACGAACAGTCGCTTCTGTGCCGAATCGCGCAGCAAATTCGCGTGAGGTATTCCTTGAGTCCTAGGCATAGGGTAATCATAGCGGTTGTGCTGGTGTAAAGACCGCGAGTCACTTTTGCTAGGGCTTCAAGCATACTTCACGCGATTCCAGTCGCCACGCAATTTCGCAGCCTGCCAGATATCTTTGAATACTCTGAATACACTAGAAAACTACAGATACATAGATTGTATAACCCTCGTAGACTGATGAGTGTCCCACCATACGAATACAATTAAAAAGCTTTTACGATGAGTTATAAAACTGTGGAGTACTGGCAAATCGCGACGCAACTAAATAAGCGTGAACTACGCCCACGGCCTGAGGCATAGTTCCTCAGCGATAATCGCCGCGATTTTGCCAAACCCCGTAGCTTCTGCTGCGATGATTGACGAATTCATGCCTTTTCATGGAGTGCTAAACTACGGTCCCTCTAGGTTACACCATTCCCACGCTACGCAAAGTCTTATCTATACTTCGTACGACAAAGAAAAGACATACGACATAAAATACTTATCACCTGAAATCCTCCAGAATCGGTCAGAATTGCACGAGGCCAGTTGATCATTTTATGTAAGCCACCTGCTTTGCGAACACGTTCATGACCAGGCCTATGACCGAGATGGTACGTATTGCATAACAATATTTGGCAGTCGATTGCAAGCAGCTGTTCGGGAAGAATTCCCTGAAAATTCTCATTTAAGGCATCGATAGCACAAGTAATATGGGTATGAAACTTAAAAGCTTGCGCATCACTTTTTGGTATCCCTCATCTTATGACGACCACATTGGCCGTTGGTGCTTTCCTCGTAAATGTGCCCAAAACTCGCGAATCATTATATGTCAACTAATATAGCGAATTCTACGCATTATCTTCCAAAGCCAAAAGTGCGAAAATTCTATGTATGGACATCATTCGATAATTGAAAAGTGGCCTAAGATACCAGATTCACCCTAGCGTGCATTTATTTATTTTGCATCAAAGTTTCAGCCAGCCGGTTTAAAGACGTGATCTTTTCTTTGAAACGTACGTACACATTGAATACAATTAAAATTTTCCGATAATCGGGACGCTTACAAGTGTTGGGTTTGGCGAACACAGGACCGATAAGCATTACATTTCTTTTCTTAATTTTTGGCCATCGAATATACCAATTTATTCATAAATATCTGATTTGGGGATGCGTGAAATAGGAGTTTCGCAGATTTCTCTAGACGGAGATACAATTTTTTACATTCCTCAAGCACCGGGATTTTTTTTTTTTGAATTTGCTTCCAATGCGTAGATGTTCAATAGCCCTCTTGCGGAAATTGCCATACTTTAGATGGTACCACGAAAACTACTTGAAATGCAGGAAGACTATGACTTACAACGGTAGATCAGAGTTGGGAAAAAAGCAGCGACAGCCTGATGTATTAGGTTGGCGTATAGTTTATTTTCATTTTTATTTTTTGAGCGAATTCCGAAAATTCTCATGTTAAAGCATATTGACAAGCGATTGTCTACTGTTGATCGTGTCACATTCGCTGTGCATGTGCCGTAACCACTACAAGTGTGGGAGACGGTTTTTGGCAATGTTAGTAAACTGGCTTTCTTCCAGATGATCAGCGAACGGGATAGATGATGTAGTAATAGGGAAGGCTATAGTCTACAGTTTCTTTTTTGAACGGAGGGTGGCATGACCATGTCCGGACACGTTCATCTAAAATGATGGCGCCCACTTTCTCGCACATTCAAATTTCACGTGGAGAACATTTTTGAAAAGTTTTAAAAATTTCTTCCAAACTTTCCGTATGGAGTCTTACACGATGCGTACAGAAACGCTATCGCGATTTCAATGGACATCAATTCATCTTGCGAAGCCTTGAGAATTAACTTTAGTAGAGCACAGCTTCTTGACATTCAACAACTCAATCAGGCTCACTTTCGAGAGCGCAAAAACGCTCAGCTGCCAGTGTTGTAAGCATAACAATCTCTATGCAACACTGTGTCGAAAAGCAGAACGGTGGAGAACGCTTTCTGCCTCGCTACTCCTTTTTATAACACTATCTGTACATCTGGAAATTCAAAGAAGAACGTGTCACTCCCAACAGCGAAGCACGAAGCTTTAGAAAATATATTTTATAGGAGACTTCATAAAGCAAATGCAACTAAAAATAGTCGCTTCTAACAGCTAACAGAATGGAACGATTTGATCTGGAGCGTAGGCTAATAATGACAAGGAATGCATGTTCAGTCAAAGTGGGCTTTTTCGATGGGATGTACACCATATTAAAGGGCATAAATTGCTGATTCTAAATCTGCCTTCTTTATATGCAGAGCCTTTATGGACGAGGAGTTATGAGCGCTTATTGGAGCAGAAAATTGAATGTGCAAGTAGGAAAAAAGTAGCCGTAATAGTTCTTCTAGCTCTCCAATGGAGGAGTGGTAATCATTGAAGCAGTTTATTAAATTAATATTTTGAAATAAAAAAATATACAACGCTTGGTTGCAGTATGAAGGCTAGTAAGATTTTAACAACACATTTTATCCAAAATGCACATCCAATTTTTGGCTTTAAAAAACACTCATAACTTCTCCTGCATGAACGCTCTGCAGATAAGGAAGGCAGATTTGAAGTCAGCGTTTTATGCCCTTCAATATGATATACATCTCATTTAGAAAGGCCACTTCGACTAAACAAGCTTCCCTTATGAGAAAGAGCTCACGAATGTGCTCAATGCTCGCCGAATTCGGGAGAAAGTTCATTTCTTACACCCCCGATCATGACACCAAGGTAGGCATCAATGTAATTTGAACTGTATGCTTGATTTTTTTAGAACGTCAGTTTCGCACTATTCTAAGAGAAAATATAAACTGAACGCTTGTGTAGTCAAGAGTGAGTCTTCCCAGCAAGTATTCATGAAAGGTATAGTGAGTTCGTTGACCACGCGGATTAAACTTCACTACTTCAGCGTTTTAGCAGTCCGTGCGGTCAACGAATCAACGATAAAACGATTGCTAATGCAGCATCAGGTAAAACTGGGTTCAAAAAGGAGTCAGCGTGATGTGATAGAAGGCAATCACTGGGAATCAAGTGTTGAGACAAAAATGCGAGAAAACTAAAAGGCAACCAGTGGGCATCAAGTGTTGAGACAAAAGTGCGAGAAAACCGCTACGGAAAGAGCTAATCCCGCCTCTAGTGGACCCCATGCACTGACTGATAACGTGTGGCGCTGGTAAAGTTCAGTCTGTAGCGGCTCGTTACTGCGCACTTTGCTCGCATTTGCTTTGATGAAAAGCGTCTCAAATGTTCTGAGTCGACCCCCACTGAAAACTCATCTTTCTCTCTCTTCCTAAAAATCTGAAAATAACTGCTTAACAATTTCAAACGCAACATATCCCATTTTCAGTTTGAGAGTGGAGAAATGTAGCTGTCCAATGCAGAACAATGAATGCCTAGCTTTTCAAAAGCCTGACACCAGCATTTGGCGCTCGCCACTTAACAATTTGTGTGAACACTCCTAATGCAGAAAATTACCGAGAAATATAGAACGAAGAGACGAGCTTTACCTTCATAGTTCCTTGCGTACCAACGGGCATGAATACTGGAGTTTTGACAGCAGAATGTGGTAAAGTTAATAGACCATGGCGAGCTCGACCCGTCTGTGACAATATTTCAAACTTCATGGAGAACGTATTCCTGTCGCCTCGCAATTATGCTTCAAAACAAAACCGAGTCTTGGTTAACATTCCACCTCCTCTTCATCGCATCCCCTAATATAAAACCGTAACACGGCTGCCGAATGAAGTAGTTGTGTGATTTTAATAAAATATGCATCTTTACTAAATATTATTGTAAACGAGCTAACATACAAAATACATCAATCTATGGCGCAAAACGTTCCTTTTGACTTAGATTATAAATCTGTCTATACATTCGTAAGTCTACATCTACAAAAACTTTAAATGCAAGAAATTTCAAAGAAAAGAATTATTTCAGTGATGATAAGTGCAGCAAAATACATGATCGATCAAGGAAATCTTATCAAAATGAGGGAGAACATCAAATCAACAGAGCATGACGAGTCGACACAAGTATTTGAGCTATCAACGCAAATTGCCCTACTCTTCCCAGATAGAGAACGCTCATTTTCTAAACTTATTCAAGCTGCAGCCTTAGAAGGATCGAGAGCTGCCTCAGGATCGCACACTTCCAGAATCGCCCGTCCTTCAACTTCTGACATCGACAATTGCTTCAGTACCTATATGCATAAAACCGTAATACAACAGATAGATATGAACGGAGTGTTCTACAAGTCACAAATAAAACTAGCGGCTCCAGTAGTGCCAATGGCAGCACCTGTGAGGCCTGATTCATAGGATACACTCGATAATCAGGTGCTTCGATCTGTCCTCCGGCGATAAGATGGACCAAATTCTTCAGCTGCTCAATACTTCCTCTGAACGAAAGTAATTTAATGAGGATTTCACTCAAAGACAGACGATGCGAATGTTCACCTAGTCACACCCATTATTGCTAATCTGTTCTTTGCCACCAGTTTGATTGGAAGTTGAACATCTAAGCCGGAAAGACCACCAACAAACAGCACACCTCCCTAAAAATTGGATAATAACGAAAGAAAGGCAGGAGCAGGTATTGTCAAGAAATCAAAATGGGAAGCGCGCATTTGAACAAATGTGATTACTGCAACGGAACTTTTCTTGGGGTCATCCATCCTAGGAGAACAGAAACAGACAGGTACTAATGATTCTGATACCTTTGAGTATACTTTTTACTGCTTCAGTAACAGAATCCGAAAATCATCACGAACAAAAGCGCTCCCCAAAGTCACGCGCATAGTGTCAACTGCACAAATTCTAACGTATTTATCTATAGTTGTAAAGCATCCTTAGAACTAAAAGCGCAACCGAGGAGTCCAATCAAGCTTACTCGCAAGCCTACCGTAAATGTATAAACTTGAAAGAAGAAAAAGAAAAGGTAATAAGTTTTCTAGCCTGTGTATGAGGACAGCAGTGGAGGAAAAAATGACCTACCTCTGCAAGGCATTTGAGTGAACGCGTGACAGTTCTTGGAGAAGTGACAAAATCGAATACAACATTGACTCCTGTTCGAGCTACATCCTTCGTACGCATTATCAAATACTCTTCGAATTCTGTAACAGGAAATTTTTGAATCAGTCATCCCTGAAACTCGTCTGAAGAGTTTTTGCACAGCCGCTTCGTGACGCCAGAGACAGCTGCAGTACAGCAAATCAACTAATCATTCCTGTTTGGAGAAAGTCTTATCCTAACAGCATACTTTCCTAATCTCTACAACGGAGAACAGAAGATTTGGTTAAAGACTGGATAAACTCTGTAAACATCAGCAACCTCCAAAAAAATAAAATAAAACTTCAAAAAACAAACGAGAAAATATGAGGTTATTGATTAACCAATTTTGATGTTTTCCTTTTCTATGAAATCTCTAGGGCTGATCGAAAACAGCATCAGGTACATGCATACCCACACTCTGAACTGACTGAAGCATCAATCTGACCCAAGGTTGAGTATCATAACAATCTCTACCGCAAATAAGGTAGACAAATGTAACTGTGATGACAAACAACAAATTTTAGAAATCTCCATAATAAAATGAATCATATAACTCTATTGTTATAACCTTTAAGCTTTCCCAAGACGCACATAAGAAAGAGGAATTGTGCAAGAACTCACTAATGCAAAATAAAGATTAACTACTTCTTTCTGTTGTGATCGAGTGATTTTTCACCGGAATTCGCAGTCACGAAGAAGTCCTTGCAAATTTTGATTGATCACCGACTATCAGAACAATTGTGAAATCATTCCAAATTGATAAAATTGCTTCACGAGTCGCAAGTCGCATACAAAAAAATGCACAACAAGTATTCGCAGAAGAAAATGCTCACCGGAATCATCCCAGTGCACAACAAAGTCAGCTCCATTCCTTTCAGCTAAACAAAGTCGTTCTTCTTTTGCATCAGCAACCATCAAACGGATTTTTCTGAAAGAAGCATGTCAGAAGCTAAATAAATAATCTAAAGTAATTCGGTAAAATGTTAACTTCACACATACCTGTCATGCCCTGCCACAAGAAAATGCTTAGCTAATTTCAAAAGCCAAAGACCGAGGCCACCAGCTCCAACAATCAAGATATTGCAGAAACCTTTAGACTGTGAGAATGCTTCCACGATAGGTCGAGCCTGAAGTTTACAAAATATAGCCCTCTCTGACAAGGGAACGATACTCAATGTCCGTGACCTTTTGAGCCAAAATGTATACCACTATTCTCGTCTTCGAACGCTGATTCCGAATATGACTTCCGTTTCTGCTAATCGTTTCTCTGAGAAAAGTTATGGAGGAATTTCGAACCAAGTTTGGCGGCCCAAGTGAAATATGGCCATTAAACGATCCCTAACGCAGGCGCGTTCTGGTCTAGTGGTTAGTGCGACAGCCTCATAAGTTGGTGCAGGTGTAGGTTCAAATCCTCTTGTGTTTTTACTTTCCCACTGTCTCAATTATGCTTCCATTAAGCTCGTGAGAATTTACTCGAATTATGATCATTGGATGCATTTGAGCGCGAGCAATAATTATTCTTTCCAAACTTCCACTTTTTTTGAAGAGAGAGGGCGTTCACTTAGCTCGATGATGCGAAAGAAGGTTTATTGAGGCAATGCAAATAAAAAACGCCAAAGGATTCGAACTTACACTTGCATCAACTCATGGGGCTATCGCACTAACCACTAGACCACAGCCCACCGTTAGTGGACGTCCTCTCCTATCGTATTTCACTGGGCAGCCATAATCCACGCGATCCATCATAAGATTTTTGAAAGCGATTAGCAGAAACGGAAGTAGATTCGGAACCAGCGTTCCAAGACAAGTGTAATGGTATACATCTCATCTCAAAAGGCCACGGACACCGAGTATCGTCCCCTTGTGAGTCGCATCTCCTTAATGCACGACCGCTTTCTGCCAAGACAAAAATGTCTTGCCATAAGTAGTCGTACATCATTACAATCGATACAAATTACTCATAAGAATAACCGCCAGAGATTCTTTTCGAGACAGCGGCGCATGAAAGCGAAGCCACATTTGCAGTGCGCATGCTCTGCACGTGTACAGGGGTAAGTGAGCACGTGCAAGGCACATGGCCTTTGCATTGCGTAAACAAGTATCTGCTTTCGGATTTAAACCAGAATCCAAACCTCAGCGCATAACAAAATCACCCTTAGCTGTCCAAAAAATCTATAGAAACAAGCAGAGGTTACCTGAAGAACTGCACTTAGAGCCCAAGTAGCACCAGCAGGGAGTATAGAAGCGACATGCATCGAAAGTGAGTCTGGGATCTTTACAAGGAAATGCAGAGTGGGCACGGCCACATAGTCGGCGTACCCATGACTGCACATTTCATCCGTAGGCCATACAATCACCTAAACGACTTATAAAAACCGAGCACATTTATAACGCATTCGACGCATTACTACAATGTATGCTGGAATAAAATTAGCTGAACTAACGAACATTATAGTTCTACGAATAACATAGGATGAAAAAAAAGCGAACCTTATCTCCAATCTTGAGATCATATTCTTCTTGATTACACTCTGTTCCAAATGATTCAACTACACCGGATACTTCATATCCTAGAATACTTACAAATACTGGATATTCTAAGATAAAACATCCACAGGTGCGAAACATTTTATAGCTGTCGATATAAGGCAAGTCGAAGATGATCAATACACTACTCACCTGGGAAAAGACTTGTATCTTTGATTCCATTGGTGACCCGCGCTTGTTTGGTATTCGTTACTTCACGGTCGGTAAGGCATACGCCAGCATAGCAGACCTGGAAACGAAGCAACGCATAGTGAATCTAAAGAAAAGACACGGCTTTCCTCAGATATCATTTGAAACTTTCCAAGTCAACCATTTTCTTTGCTTGTTGAGCATATCATCAGCTAGGCGAAAGCGCAATGATATTCGATACTGATGTTCCCAGATACAGTGTATTTTCTGCTCTCCTTGTTTTATCAGCGGTAGAATTGACGATTACTTTTGTTGCAACACAACGGCTAATATCAGATTGGTGCCCAAAGATCAATTAATTTTTTGAAAAAAAAAATGGAAGACTGATGTTAGCAATTTTATCCGATTTATTGTAACTTCACGAAAGTCGTGCAACTTCTATAATGCTCAAAATAGACATCATGTTCGCACAAGCAATGCAAGCCGAAAAAAAAGCGCTCATATTGCAGTACCTCAGACATTAGTTGACAGAAATGCTACGAGGTCCAATAAATTCTAACTTGAGTTCTATCATGATTACACGCCCTACTATTTGGGGAGCGTCTCAATGGGGTGTTACTATGGATAATCAAGATTGACGACTACACTTGATTTGGTTTGATCAATCTGGTATATGCCAAACGAGAACGTTTGTGTGTTACAGACAGCATATAATTAAACTTGAAACCTTTTACATGAATGGATTTTTTATGGTATACTGGTGTGAGATTTATGGACTAACCTAAAAGAAAAAATAAGCGTCTCGTCTTCTCAACCGACTTACGTGCGAAAGACACTTTGCTCTGGGAAGCAAATCGCAATATGATATTTTTCTTAGCATGACGACGTTTTAGCATAACATCCTCACAGCTGATCATACACTCCATGCTTCGAACAGCACAATGTCGCAGTTTCACGATAACAGAAAACGAAATTCGACATTTCTAAGCACTCACCTTGATTCTCGCTCCTTTGGGTGGGACGTCAGGTATTGGCTCCTCATCAAAAAATTTCACTTCCTTCAGATCCTTGGGTGAGCCGAGAGATATACGTCTGTTTCTTGTGACAGACATTCTAAAATCGCAAGCGATCAATGCTGAGCTTAATACAACGGATACTTCAAAACGCAAAGAAGACACTGCTTAGCGATACAAGAACTCAACGCATGTTTGTGTCTACCAAAGATCAATAGAGTGATATCATTGCCGCTATCAGCCGAGAACGTGCCCCTACCGCAAAACACAACAAGAGAAGATGGATTGCATCAATAGGCATTGTAAACAAGCAGACTCTTAGCATGACCTTGAAAAGAAGTGGAGAATCTGGAGTATATGGCTAGACAGGGATTTTCCATAGATACTGAGACGTGATCTAGACGTGACAAAGTGGAAGTTTAACCGAGCTATGAAGCCGACAGCTTCGAAGAGTCACGAGCCTGAAATCGACTGGTAAGCGCAGTGACTGGCAAGAAGAGTGCAGAGCGGAGACACAGCTGCGAGAAGTCAGGTGCCAGCTCACAGAATGCGCCAGCCGTCGTGCCTGGCGCATTTCTGAATCGTTGACGTTTCCACCGCAAAGAACCAACAGAATTGCGTTGTAAAATGTGAACTGAGCATCATTCAGCAAGTTTGAGGAATGTGAAGAGCAGTTTTTGTTCTGGTGATGGTGATGAGTAGTTTAAACTGTTGGATGGAAAGAGGATGATGCTGAAAGTGAAGCGAGAAGCAGCTAATTGGTGCTTGTGACCGGTTATACAAATATTGTCGTCAACAAACGTTCCGTCTTCCGCGTGGTAATAGCAGATAGCTTGGTTTTTCGCCTGTCCGGCTGACCTAAGCCCTTGTCACGCAAACTTCCAGTTTCTTTAAAAGCAGCGTCTAGACAGATCTGGACCTACGGGGATTTTACGAGGAAAGCGCAAAGCGGGGTACTTTTGGGGCCCTTACTAAGGCACTGCTCAAGCACCAGCGCAGGTAGTGCTCTAACGGCTGAGATGATCCCCTCGAAACTAGACCCCGCAACCGTATTTGCATGGATTCATGACAGTTTCGCGCCAGGACACACGCTTTGCGCCATGCATCCATGCGAAATACGTGCGGGGTCCAGTTTCGAGGGGATCATCTCAGCCGTTAGAGCACTACCTGAGCTGCGGTTGGGCAGTGGCTTAGTTAGGGCCCCAGCGGGGTCCAGTTTCGAGGGGATCATCTCAGCCGTTAGAGCACTACCTGAGCTGCGGTTGGGCAGTGGCTTAGTTAGGGCCCCAAATTACTATCCACGTGAGATCCCCATGTGTCCAGACTTGCCTGGACGTTGCCTTTAAAGGCAGTGTCCGGGCAAAAACTCGATCTTGAGATTTTGTGCTTATACGGGCCTTTTCGCCATGCTGAATCCGAAAATCCACATTGGAAAGCGCGAAAACGGCGAAAAAGGGCTCTAACACAGGAGAGAAATCAGCAGGTGAGCGGGGCTTTCCCCAGTGCGATTTCACGCTCCCAGCTCCCGGAGCGATTTTCTCGATTCCGCTAGCCATCCTAACATCCTACCGGTCAAGTGTGAATGATTGACTTGAAACCGGAAGCGAGAAGGCCGCTCCGGAAGCCGGGAACGTGAATTCGCAGTGGGGAGGACCCCGCCCACCTGCTCATTTCCCTCCAGTATTAGAGCCCTTTTTCGCGTCTTCCAATAGCGGGAAAGCGGCGGATCCGAAGCGAACGCACCTCCAAATAGCACCTTTAGATTACTTCGCTAGTAACTTATAAAAGAAGCATTAAAGTGAAGTGCAACTCCATATTTATAACCAGTGCGTCATCTCTGCTTCGCAGAGGCTCGCACTGGCTCGCTCTACTATCTAGGCCCTACTTATTCTCGCATAATGATGGCATTGGAACTCACCTAGCATTGCTGGCTATCACGGACAAAATGTAAACAACTACTCATTCCAAAAGCTTTTCTATGCGAAATCGGTGATTTCGCATGGGTGAGACCTTTTGCAGGAGGACAAACGCAAATTCTTATAGGTTTTTGATTTTTCCATGGTTTTGACAGCTGCAATAAGAACAGCAGCCACCGTGAGCTACATCTTTGTGCAAAAATCTCGTCAAAAGTTTTGGTAAAAGCTTGGCGAAATGACCATTTACGCAACCAATACGTTTTGGCGCCGTTTTTGTAAAGTAATGGTCTTTTGATCACCTTTTTGGGCCTAAGTTCATGGCTTGCACATTTACATGGCATAAACACGGACCCAATTTTGCGGCTCAAATGCAAAGTGGATCCGTTTGGCGCGCAGTTTCTGAGGGATCCACTCAACGAATCTGCTCGTGCTTTTGCGTTTTGGACTTTCATGCGGGTAGCATGCGCTGTGCAAAATTTGAGCCCAGTAGGTTGGCTGGAACACGCTCTACGAATTTCGTAACACACACACACACACACACACACACACACACACACACACACACACACACACACACACACACACACACACACACACACACACACACACACACACACACACACACACACACACACACACACACACACACACACACACACACACACACACACACACACACACACACACACACACACACACACACACACACACACACACACACACACACACACACACACACACACACACACACACACACACACACACACACACACACACACACACACACACACACACACACACACACACACACACACACACACACACACACACACACACACACACACACACACACACACACACACACACACACACACACACACACACACACACACACACACACACACACACACACACACACACACACACACACACACACACACACACACACACACACACACACACACACACACACACACACACACACACACACACACACACACACACACACACACACACACACACACACACACACACACACACACACACACACACACACACACACACACACACACACACACACACACACACACACACACACACACACACACACACACACACACACACACACACACACACACACACACACACACACACACACACACACACACACACACACACACACACACACACACACACACACACACACACACACACACACACACACACACACACACAAGTCACGTAAACATCCTTAGCCCGTTATTATAAGTTATGATCAGCGACTTTGATTAGTTTAGTACAAGAGTTTATGGCTAACTTGGTTTTCCTTCTGAGAAAAAAATAGCTTTCGATTTTCTAAAATCCTTCCCGAAGTTCCTTTTGTAATCCTACACTAGTGAAGATTGACGATGATTCGCTCCGTATTGTGAATCTAGGTTGAATCTCACTCTGTAGAAGGGTACTTCAAAGGCAGCGTCCACGCAAAATCTCGGTTTCTCTTTTTTTGTCTTCAAAATGCATGAATTACTCAAAAAACCCCATTTTTGAGACAATTTTGTGAGAAGCGTGGACGAGTGCTTCTATGCAATTCTTGTCGAAAGCAAGCATTAAAGGCACCGTCCACCCTCTCAGATAATCGCCGGGGGCAGGCGGTCCGCAAACTCGCGCTTTTCTGCAGGCGGTCAGCAGAATTTTGGGGCGTGGCCAAACCTTCAGCGGGCGGTACTTCCGCGTTCTGCCAGCGGGCAGCAATACAGAATTTTCTGCGAGCGCTCGTCAAATAATATCTTCCAGCGAGCGCTGGCCAAACTTTCAGCAAGCGCTCGGACTCTTTTTAGGTTTTTAGGGGCGTACGTCGAGCGCAGGTAAGACTCTGTGTGGCAGAGGTGTCACCGTTGGTTTAATTACTCAAGTTTGAGGTACTTTCTCTCAGCGGAAAGTGCCTGGGGGTTGCGCGGTCCTCCATAAAGGAACGTGCGGCCCTCGAAATTTTTGCATATTCTCGCGGAAAGTCCGCGAGAAAGCGGCCACTGCGCCGCAGCTAATCCATAAAGAAACCGCGATTGTTCTACAAGCATTCGTCTTTAATTTTGCCAACTTTCTTCCAAATTTCTGCAAGCGGGCCGCAAAAAATCAACGAACTATTTTTCCGGTGCGCGCTTGCTCAAAATTCGCATGGCCGCCTGCCCCCGGCGGCTATCTGAGCTAAGTTGCGGGTGTTGAGCTTTTGGCAGCATATAACAGTGGGGCCTCCTATCAAGCGAATGCCCAAGTCGCGGTGCAATATGCCGCTTCGGAAGCGAGAAAATCGCTTCGGAATAGCGAAGATGGACCAGGGTCAAGCGTGCTGATGCGATCCGGGACCCCCTCCCCAGTACCCATCCCTACAACCCCTCTCCCCCACCTAATCCCCTCCCCTTCCTTTTGTGGTAACCTGCATGAACGAATGTCAATCTCAAATGATGCCTGCCAATGGACCTCAATAAAAATTACATAACTACTTATAAATTGGGAGACAGTGCAAGCAATGCTTCAACACTCAAAAAACAAATATTTCTACGTAGATTGGTAAATAGTATTTACAAATTGGCTATGCTTATTGTGTTTGGGAGAATATGAATGGAAAGAACATCATCTGACAAAGCAGAACAACGAATTTGATTTGAATGGTATTTAAGATGTACCCTACTTATAAAAAATAAAATAAAATAACAACCAAGAAAAATTCAGCATAATGAAGCGGTTCATTTTAGTCATTATAATTGACTATTTTATAATAACTTCTTTTCTAGTGAAGGTTAATAAACTCTTCTGCTGTTTATGAATGTTCGGCATAATCTTTTCATGGTCCAGTGGTACCGAAAGGTATAGACTATGGTTCTGGGAATTAGAACATCTTAGACATTAATGACAGTCCCGTGTTCTATCCCCGTACGCGACAATATTTTTTTGCAGGAAGAAAAAACGATATCTTTGAAGCGTAAAAATTTTTTCGACTAAAAAGCTTACTTTCTATCTATTGCACAGATTTTCCTGCGAAACCAACTGTTTTAGCGCCTTCCAGAACGATGTCAAAAACGTGCATGAGCACGGTAGTTTGAAAATTCCTAACTAAAGTCAGGAAAAGATTAAGAGGCTGCAACGGAGGTTTTGTAATATTATGCCCAGGCTACCCATGGAAAAAGTTTTAG